GAAATATGCTCGCTTACATTTGCTTTTGAGAAATTTCGACGTATTCATGAATCATGGCTAGAAATTCGATACAATATGGCGGGTGAATACTAAAACGTATGCGCACAAGTTCTTAAATTCGTACATTCCAAATGGCGGAAAGGCAGGTGTGCAGTTAAGAAAACCTCAATTATCAATGCGCAGACAAAAACAAAGAAATTCACTCAAGATCCACACATCGAAATGTCAATAAAATTGTCCAAATATCACTAACCTTGATCAACAATATTTACAGGTTAGCCCAGAACTTGCACTGCATGAATACTCATTCTGAGGGCATTCTGACGGGTGGTTTTACGTAACATCCTAGACAATTGTAAGATATCGTCCGATTTGCAATCCTTACTATGCCAACATTGTTGGTTTCTGGAGAGGCCCACAGAGCGATAAAAATCGTCGATATAACAACCGTTATTTAAACAATAAACAAAGTCCTTTTCTTTCTTGCGAAATGCAATATTTGGTTTAATTTAAGCAGTATTTGTTCTCACGAGTCATTTCTCAAACGCCCAAATAATCAATTTTAAGCCAAAAAAACACTAAGTTTCTTCTTCGACTGCCATTTTGATTTTTTAATATTGTGTGTAACCGCTGTTCATATAAAAAAGGCTCAAAAAGCTTTCCGAGGCTTTTTATCTGGAGTTTTCACAAGTTTTTACTGTTTTTTAAAAGAGATTTTTGGGAAAAGTCTTTAACCGTTTAGGTAGAACAAGCAGATTTTTGGAAAAAATCTCTAACCGAGGTAAGCTTTTTTAACATAATAAAAATTGTGCACTTTTTGTGGGTATACTAATATAATAAGATAATTCAAAAATTTGAAAAACACTTGTGGCTACTTTTTCAGTATAAAAATCTTCAGTAGTGGTGAGACAGTGGGTGGGGCTTGTAAAGCTGAGCCCCCTGTTTGCTTTTTTTGTTTAAGCTCACTTTTAAAAATATGTAAAGCTAGTTGAAACCAATATATCATCATTATCTCTGTTTTCCCTCCCCCAAAATTAGAAAACTGTGGAACTTCATTACCTAAACACTTCAGTAAACTACCAGTAAACTACAGTAAACTGCCAGTTGAACAAGTGCTGTGTTGTAATGTGGTCATTGTAGGGTTACCCCTGCCAATCCCTGTCCAGAGGGGCAAAATTAAAGGTTAAGGGGGGGGGGCACCTTAATCAATGGTGGTGCTAGAATAATAAGGAATAGAGTTTATTTTAGCAGTTTTTTTCATATAGGTGCATTATTTGTGGATTTGGGAAGGGTTTCAGTTTATGCTTCCCCTCTCATTGCTTCTTTGACCTTTATTTTTGAACAAAAACCGGAAAACATCATGCCGAAAGTTAATGCATGTTGGAAGGGTGCTTTTTGACTTCAAATGCTCAAGAATTCCAATTGCAATAGCATCTCTTCCCTCATCGATTGCTTCAGGAGAAGGTAAGGGTGTTCAAACGATCTAGGAAATGAATAGGAATTTTACTAATTATATTTATCTTGAATTTTTAGCTCTCCCCTATGTGGGGTTACACGAAAAAATCCATTGTCTTTCAGTTATTTTTTTCCCTCTGGATTAATAAAGCAGGCCGTAGTAATTAAAGTAACTGTAAACTTAAATTACACTAAACTTTCCTGTAAACATTTGACGGCTGTATCTTTCTGACGCTATTTAAATTTTAAGGTTACTGCAAACATACCTTAGAGCCGCAGAGTTCAAATGCTCCTCTGGCTCCCACGAGTTGTACAAGCTCGAGTATCCTTTCCATTTTATGAAATATTCGAACTATAGAAATGTATTATGAGCTAAGTGTTAGATAAATACCACGAACAAAAACTATCGACACTAAATTCCTTGGCAAAATGTAAGATAACGTGTTAATTACTTGCCTTTCCTTTCGACTTCCTTCGTGTGATCACTCTTTCAACTTGGTAACTTTTTCTTGTTGAGTTTAAAGTGTAAAATTCGGCCGTGCTAAGATTATTTAACTCTTTATAGAATCCTCCCGCCATATTGAAAAACTGGAAATTATGCGCCGGCGATATTAACCGCTGGGTGTAGCGAATTTCTAGCCATGTTAATGCATTCGATTTAGCCAGGATGCAGCGAATAGACCAATTTAAGGTGTTATGAATAAACTTTATCCGAGTTCAAAGTCAAGAAGTATATATATATATATATATATATATATATTATATATATAATATATATATATATATATATATATTATATATATATATATATATATTATATATATATATATATATATTATATAATATGTATATATATTATATATATAACATGTGTAAAACAATGTGCCCTCCCAGCTACCGGAGGAGGTGACTCCTGCACTTGGGACATAGGACGTACGGTTACACATTGTTGGAATTGTAAAGTGAAGTCACCAGAGTGCTCAAACTCCTTGGATACCCATTATCGACAAACACATCTGTCAGCTAGCGTAATGATTCGTCGATAATGGGTATCCAAGGAAATTTGTCAAAGCTACAATTCGAAACACCACGAATATCAAAATTACTAGAGATGATGAAACAAAGCATATTTACTTAAAGCTCCCCTTCATAAATGAAGAATTTAAAAGGCGTGCATTGGCAGTGATTAAACGATCAGGAATAGACAATGTCAGAGTTCATTTTATGAACGGTAAATCGTCGCGCAGGGTATTTGCTCCACCCAGGCAACGAAGCATGCAAATGCACCAACAAACTCGATAGATGTCTGAATAAGAATGTAGTATATGAAATTACGATTCCTTTCTGAGAGACAGAAAATCTTTAAGCTTTGCACTCATAAAACCTGAACCTCTGTCCGTGTGGATATACACCGGCATACCGAAGATGGAAAACAACTGGCTAAGGCACTCTATAATAGTTTCTGCATGGAAAGGCAAATGGGAATCTTGAATATTGATCTACTAGAAATACATGCATGCAGCAACCCCTCGCCATTTCAAACGAAGCAAAATATTTCCTGAGCTAGCCAGACCTAACCTTCAATTAGTTCAATATTATGAAATGTCCTAAATGTAAAGCCGATAGCTGATGTTTCGGAAACAAACACAGTCGTAAAGGTGAAGTGAAATCATCCGTTTTCCTGCTGCTTTCCGTTGCATTAAGTTGCAGACTTTCACAGTTTAAGTGAGAGTTAATACTTCATTATAGCTAAACCTTCAAAACATCAAAACAGCACAAATAATATAAATAACCAAGCAGTGAACGTCGAATGCTGTTTTTCGATTATTAAATTCATGCAGTGATTGCAGTCGACTCTATAAACCTTTATAGTGATATTTGTTATTTTAAAACTCCGAATTACACTTTTAAGGACTCTTTTGGAAGTTAAAACGATGATGTAAAGCCGTAAATAGTCGGTCACGTCTTCACAAAACCGAGCAAAACGACGTACTGTACCAAGGTCATAAAATGTATTCGTACAGCAAACACGAAATAAATAAACCTCGAAATAAAAAAATAGACTCCTACCATTTCAAGGATTATAATCGAGTTGTTCCTTTTCAACGCTAATTCTTCCAGTTCTGATAATATTTTAAACTCTTCCCAGTGTTTTATCGGTTATTTGATTCCACATTTCATATTGTGTTTTCGAAACATATTTTTAAGAAAATAGTTTGCAAAATGACAGTTAAATTGCTGACGTTTTTCACTGAAAAACAAACGTTTCGTCTTAGCCAATCAGTAAGTTGCTGATTACCAGTCTACACTCGTTCGCATTTCGCGCATGCGCACAAGTACCATGACCATTGAACGTCCATGGTCCAAATTTAGGCGACTTTGGCTTCCGCTATGTTCTCCCGTGTCCCGGGTGTAATTCCTAATCTCCGGGCGGAATTAGTACCCTCGCACGGTGCTCCGCACCGGCTCGGGGATTATAGTAAGCATGAACTTGTTCTGATTATTCGTTGGTAAAGGTCCTTTAAAATCCAAGCTGAGTCGTTCAAAAGTCCCTAGTCCCTAGGCCTTGGCGCGGATAATATACCTACGTATTTTTAATGATACTTATTTCTTACATTGGAAAAATGTTCACGCATGACGACGATGCATGAGATGAGTTGTGTGGCACTTTGAAATTTGATATGTTAAGAATGTACATCCGCACTGATAAATACATAAAATCAATCTCACATTCAAGTTGATTAACGTTTTGGATGCATGGATGTATGGCTTGGGTTGTCTGTGTGTGTGTCTTTTTCTGCTTTTAAACCGCCTCCTATAGGGTCCCAAGGCATAGGCACTCGTGATGAGTGAGCTGGTGAGGGAAAGGGACAAATTTACATTCTTAGGTTTGAATACGCCCGTCAAGGGTAAGTATAGTAAACACAGAGATCACAGAACGAGAGAGAAACCTTATGAATATGATGTTTGCAACACGAAATTTTCACATGATAGTAATTTGGTTACCCATTAAAGAATCAGGCTTTACGTATTTAACTACATTATACTTTAGTCCTTTTTGAGTTTGAATCTAAGTAAGATAACGGATAACCATGTTCAGAAGATAATGATTTTCTATCAACAAATTTCACTTGGCTCAGATGGATTCGTCAATACGTATCCCCCAAAATGCAGGAAATGAAGTCAGAGAGACGCCAAAAATGCAGAAATTTTAACCCAGACCCCGACAAAATCTTTTGCAAATTGTTCAAGCCCGAATCCGCCACTAACGAGTTCTTAAATTAAAAAAGGCTGGCAAAGAAGATATATACTGGAGTGAAATCCATGAATGTTATGTGTGTGAAAAGAGATATATAACGTTAATGTTAGGAGCAAAACCTACGCACAAAAGCTTCTGTAATGCGCCCGATTGCTTTGGTTCATTGTCATTTTCTAATAAAATTCAAGAATCAGTACAAAAGACGCTATCGAACCAAATTCGTTAAATAACTCAAATATCTAAACTGGGATTTTTCATCAACCCTTTAATTAATTAAAGTAAATTTGATGCACAATAACTTCTTAGTTACACCATTCCAGTTTTATTTTCCATTTTAATCCAGGCTGAAAGGAAAAAGTTTGTGTTAAAATATTGCGGAAAGAACTAATGAAACATACCTTAAAACAAAACATTATTAAAAGGGACGTTACTCACCAACAGCAAAGTTGTAGAAAGCCTGGACAAAGTATGCCACACCCAATATAGCCTGGGTCACAAAGGTTACCTCGATCGGTACAATAACCACCGAAGTCATCACAAGGATATTGATCCGCTTTATCTGCGTGATTAAAACATTAATCGTCATGAAAATGGGCTGACGAAAAGTGTGAAAGATATCTTTAGTTCAACCTCTGCTAGGGAAATTTTTTTATCCCACCACAAAAAAAATCTTACGCATACTCTAACCCTGATATTTGCCTCCCCCTGCTGATACGCCTACGTTATGACCCCTCCCTCATAGTTAAAAAAAAATACCTTCTACAAATTGACGGCCATCAACGTCAGAAAATGCCACGAAAAGTATCAAAAACAGACAAACATTCAGACGGAAATCCATTTTGTGAAGAGAATATATCTAGAAAATAACAATTAAGGCTTGGATAAATAACGTCAATAAATTTAATGAGAACGGATTGATTTGAATATACGTCATTCAAATGCTCATCTATTTATTTTAGCCTAACATTTATGACTGCAGCCCCTCTTTGTGAAAATAGAGAAATACAAGGGAGGTTTTGGCTTTCCTGAAATCTGGCTGTAAGATTTTACCTGCTCGACGCTAATTTCGAAATCGTAGACAGTGACTCGCATCGTTGATGGTCAGTCGCATAATTTAAATCGACACCAGGTTGCTAGAACACTGCCGATTTAATTGACCGACATATATAATATAATGTTAAACTAGCGGGCTTTTTATCCATGGATTGCCGGCCAGTGTTCAAAGGTATGGTTCTTGTGCTTGATATATGTGTTCGAATACTGCCTGCATGTAACCACTTTGTTTTTTCTTTTTTTTGTATTTGCAAAGTTCCGATTTGAACAAGTGAAACTACCTTTTGGTTACTTATTTGAGTTATTTGGGGGTTAGGTTTAAATTTTTCTGTGTATACTGGTCGTTAATAACAGTGTGAGCCCGTGTTCAAGCAACTTGATTGACATCGAGTTAAATGATGCGACTGACCATCAACGAAGCGATTGACTGTCTACGGTTTCAAAATTTGCTGCGTCGACCGCCCGATCTTCTAGAAACTCAATGTTGAACACTGTTACGATTAAGGCAGATTGCCTAAAATTTGACCCTCCTTTGAATATCGCCCTTTATTAACAGAATAGCGTATTATATATTCAATACTAATGTGATAAAACCTATGGTCTTCGACATTACCAGAAATTTGCGACATGATAATTTGCATTTATACTAATTTGCATTTAACTTTCAGCATAATGGCCTTCAACTTTTACTATTAAATACATATAGTAAATATACAAAACCTTAAAATGTCGTTGCCCTAGACCTTGCCCACTGTTTGCCGACCTCTGGGTCAATAGAACAGCCGTTTCCCAACGTTTTAATGATCGAATTACTTACCTTAGGTATTTCTACGTTCGGCCAACTGATTGTGAACAAATGTGTATATAGCCTTCGTATTGTTCAAGTTCCTGATAAGACTGATAATATTTTTTAAAGTGATTGCAGTGAAAATCCGAGCCGTACAGAAAAGTTTATACACAAATACGAAAGACAATATCTTTAACAACTTTTTTTGGTATATTACACGTCAATTCATCAACTACCTGAATCGAAATATTCGAATCAATGTGAGCGATTTTATAACTTCGTTGACAGAACACGGACAAAACTTTGAGGTCTTTGAGCGATATATTTTTAAATTTGGCAGATTACAGAAATGCCCAAGCAAAAAAAATCGGCCACCAAAACGTTTCTAAACAGCTGCTCGACCGATCTAGAGGTCGGCAAACAGTAGGCAAGGTCTAGGTCAACGGCATTTTTAAGTTTTGTATATTTACTATATATTTTATAGTAAATGTTGAAGGCCATTATGCTGAAAGTTAAATGCAAATTAGTATACATGCAAATTATCATGTCGCAAATTTCTGGTAATGAAGTATAGAGAGAAATTTCAAGTAATTAGTTACTTTTCGTGTATAATCATTCACTCACTCGTGCATATGGAATTCAAAATTTTGCATAGACGGTCATCAGATCAGATCACCAAGTAGGAAACTGTGAATCAAATTGAACCTAACTATTCAAACTTACAATGAAGCTTACCTCAGTTCGCAGTCTGCCAACAGTAAAGATTTCAAAACTTCTCAGAGAAACTTTAGTTCGCCAATGACTTAGTGCTGTATGGACCTGAGTATATATGCTATTCGTTAATCAAAAGATGACAAAAATCGTGCAGTTTGACATTTCCGAAAAGGTTATAGCTATAAGTATTTTCATCGCTGTGTTGGATATTAGTGTCTCGACTGTAAATTAACAATATCGATCTCTAACGTCCTTTCCGATGGTGGCCTTACTGATAGCTATTAACGATTTGTCTGAGTAATATGAGTAACCCTATAGTCCGGCCATGGTAAAAACATGCCTAACGGTTTAGGGGTCTAAATTTCGTGTCGAATTATACACACTTCAAATTAAAGCTAGCACACACAAAAAACAGGTGTGTAGAATTACACACCAAGGTGTGTTTGACTACACACCAAGGTGTGCTCAATTGCACGCCATGGTGTGTAATTTCTGCACACCTTTCTACGCGCTTTTAGAAAACACACCTTGGTGTGTATGGAAACACACCTTTGTGTGTACGCAAACACACCTTCGTGTGTTCGAAAACACACCTTCGTGTGTTAGCGAAAACACCTCCTTTTGCACACCTTTTCTTTTACTCATTAAGGTGTTTTAAGTAACACACGTTTTCACTGAAAACACACCTTGGTGTGTTTGACAGCACACCTTGACCCATCCAAGAAACACATCTTTTGGCGTGTTATAAAACACACCTTTAAATTATTAACAATATGCTTGATTGGCCTTATTTATTATACTTATAGTATTTTAGTGCGTCGATAAAAGCGTCAGCCTTACGAGGAATTACACAAGTCACAGGAAATTTCACGCTTTCCATCGCATTTAAATTTAACTTTTTGCTTTAATTAAATTCCTGTTATCTTTGGCCTGCGTTTCAGCTTTGATTAGTATTAAAAACTCCAAACATTGCATAAGACATAAATTTAAGGAGATTTACAGATCGTTGTGGTTTACTTAAGTAAGAATGATTAACGTGGGTTGTTTTTGAATATCGATCTGCCATACAGACTTGTATATACAGGTCAGTGATCTAATACGTCATACGTTTTTAACCAATAAGAATGTCGCGAGGTGTGAAACCCACGCGCACGAAATACAAATTACAAACCACTGTTTAGTGTTTACATTTCCTTCTCTACTGTGACAACTGTGCTTCGAGTCTGTTACAAGTTTAAATTATGTTTATTGTGAAGGCGATTTTAAGATTTTTTTGGAGATGAACACACGAGAGCTTATGATGTTGTATAAAGAAGAAATTATAAGAGGGTAAGTTGTATTGCTGTGCTTTTCAAATCGTTTGTGTCAAACATTTGTATCAATTTCAATATGGCCAACGAGTGTAATCAATATGGTTGTCTCTATCTATTTGTAGCGAATAAATTGATGGTTCCGTTACAAACGATGCAAAGAAATTCAAGACTTCGAAGGTCCCGAATAGCTTGAAAGTGAAAAGTCTGCTTCATTCTAATAATTCAGAGACCACCGAAGCGCATGGCGACGCGAACAGATTCGACATCACAAGAGAGACTTGGTGAGTGTTACGTTTTATCTTTCAAAATTGAATTGTTCTAGGTGCTTTTAGAAGGAGATTTACACGTATATCGGTGTATACATAAGGCTGTTTATGCCATAGTTTATGCTTGGTATAAAGAAAGCATATAATTCGCTAGGTGTAATCTTGATGAATTGTTTTGTGTCTTAATTTATGTTTAATATTTTGTATTCCTTTTGGGGGTTAGTAACATTCCAAAGGACCAATTTTTGTCCTCACTATACTGCATTTGCTTTCTAAATGTTGTAAATATTAGATAGTTGATTTGACTTGAGTGTTCCAGAATGGTTTATGATTTTTAATACTATAGACTTGACTACTTATCCTGAAAGATAGCTATATATACATATTTAAATAAATCTTTCCCATTTTAAAGAAACTATAGGAAATGTGCCTAGACCCCAATTTTTCAAATTTCAACAGAAGGTTATAATTCATGTAATTATACCTGCCTATACCTGACAATACATCCTAAATTCTTTTACCAAAAATAAATCATAACTCATAAATTGGGTATCATTTAGCATGTTCCATTAATTAACAGATGCTTGTGCACATCTTAAATTGGAAAATTCTAAATACCAGATCCTCTTATGCATTTATTTTATATTTTCAGGTGACCTTTGTTGATTATGAAGATCATGAATTAAGGCGATGATGTTATTGCAACAGTTGAGCAGGCACCATACACTCCAACAAACAAGAACAAGGGTGACCAACAAGACAAGAAAACACCACCAAGTGTCAAGTCGAGACGACATCAAGTCAATAAACTGTTTATAGAGTAAGACATTATTTTAAAATAAACTGCATGCTTCAAGATTTATATAATTCATTACTGTGACTTCATGTTAATTCTTAATAGTATTGGAACTTAAAATATATTTATAAATTAATATTGTGTTTGTGTGTTTTCTAGCCCGTTTATATGTTACTTTTAGGAAAGGTGTGCAACTTTTTACTTAAACAATTTGTGTGTTCTCCAGCACAGCTTTAGCTGTGTAATGAAACACACCATGGTGTGTATGAAAACACACCTTCTTTGAAAACACACCTTAGAACGTGTTAAAATTTGGACAAGCCAAAAACACATCTTTTGGTGTGTTTTTTGACACACCTTTTAGTGTGTTCTACACACCTTTTGGTGTGCACAAAAACACACCTTGCTTTGTGTTAACACACCTTTGAAGATGCTTTTTGCACACCTTATGGTGTGTTAAGCACACCTTTAGGTGTGTTTCAAAACCCACCTTTAGGTGTGTTAAAATTTGGACAAAAAGGTGTGTAAATTTAACACACCTTTTTTTAGTGTGCAAAGGGTGATGGAAAAATTAGTCAACTATAGGTCTTCCGGCAGGAATCGAACCTACGCTTTTGCTATAACGGTGCAATGCTCTTGCCACTGAGCTACAGAGGCAGCTGACAAGAGCAAGCGTGGTTAATGTGTATATGATGGTAATGCCAGAAATTGGTGAGGGTAAATTAATCAATTAAGATTTTTGGCACTTCGCTCGATGCAGGTAAAAACTAGAAGTTTAAGGGTCTTAATTTCGAGTAGAATTATACACACTTACATGTTACTCCTTTGAGTGATGGCTCCATTAAAATGACGTCATGCATAATAGCTTGTCATCTAGATGCATCAATGCCTAAGTAAAAAGAGCAAGTGGTGTGTATGTTGGTATGGCTGACAAAAAATATTACCGTATGCATACAAATTTTTAGGATGTATTTCATGCATGTTTGTCTGAGAACAGGACCTTAATGTGACATTTTCGAGTTGTGAGTAGGTATAATTTTGGCCATAATGCAAGGCCAGTGGTTTAGATATGTTCAAGTGTTGATCTGAACGTTCTCGTGTATTACATGTATTTCCGACAATGAATAGCAATTGCACTGCATGTTAACTAAATATGCTATAAAAACGTCGTAGAATCACAATGATTTTACCTATTCGATTGTGTTTTTCCGTATTCTCTTTATTTTTTACTCAAAGTACTTTTGTTTAGGTGTTGGATCAGTGTGTCTCGGCCTTAAGAAATGACAGCAGTAAAAAGCTTTCTTCGTTTCAGTTTAAAGATTTTTGTGCACAATACTGCATAATGTAACCTGCGAGCATGCCTAGTATTTGGTTCCTATCCAAGTGTGGACACTTGCCTGAGTATAATGACTTCACTTTAATTAGCTTTTTGAATGAGTGCCTAGTTTCTCTACGACGATTGTGTTTGTCTAAGAGTTCGCGAAGGGGAAAAATTACTTACAGAAACTTTACTTCGCTGCAACAGGCGCAAAACCGTCTAATTTGTATACTTATATATATGCGCAGTATACATATTCTATACCTATACAGTTATTTGATTTTCATCAAAGCTACTCAAAAATTAGTGTATATTATAAAATACATTTTAATCAAACTAAATGTTTCACTGATCAAAGCTTCCTCATGTACAGAGGAAAACTATAACGGGCGAGAATGCATGGTCCTGATAATATATTTGCCACTTAAATGTCGGTGAGAAAAAAAAGCAAAGAGGCCAAAAGCGATCGCTATATGCGTGAATCTGTAAAATATAATTATTATGCACTCCTGCTGCTAAAATGTCGAATTTTTTTAATTTGACGATGCATCATACTTACTGAGTTTATACGAGATTCTAGCTAATTCAAAGACAACAAAAGTGATTCATTCATTGCCCATTCCTTTCTTACGGAGAACATTTACTTCATGAAAATAACAAAAATATCCAAACACAGTTGAGGGGAAAGAGTATACGTCCATATCTTATATATATAAACACAAAATTTTCCTTTTTACCTTTATCGTCCATATACTATGATTAAATGGCTAGCACTGGCTTTATCTCTTACTTGACTGCGGTCGCTATATCTTTCAATACCCGCGTGTATAGATACACAAGTCTTTCAGGTACACATGTCCTTAACATTTCCGACAATGTCGCTTCATTGTACACTAGAGAGCTGCATATCGAGAGAGCAGCCAATTTTCATAGCTATGCAATATTTTGCCAGTAATAATAATACGCAGTATTTCTACGCACCGAATAACATTTCATTTCAATTTAGACGTCTGTTCATCAATTATATGAAAATTAATAATTTTATTAAGCTTGTTGACGGAATTTGAGATAGAAATCGAAATTTTTTCGATTTTTATACAATCATTAAAATTAATATTGATCCTGTTATCACCGGCGACGGCTCGATGACCAGAAAATCCCAATCATCACGCAAAAGCCATCTAATCTCATAAACTATAGTTGTAATTGACACGAAACAGCAAGGGCATTGGGTAAACCTCTTGGCTCTTCCCCCTGCACAACTATCAAAAGGTACAAACAATAGGAATCACCAATCACGTGGACAGGGATTATCGACCACGTGGACTGGGTACATGTAAGATATTCGCATGAATGTCGATCATGTGAATAGGGATCGGTTGTAAATTAACAATAATAATCAGTGACGTTCCTTCCGTTGGCGGCCATAGCTATTAACGATTTGTCTTTAACCCTAAGTCTGCCGGTATAAAAAAACATGCCGGCTATAGATCTTAAAGTATATACTGCTTATAGCATGCTAAGATGTTTTTCTTCTGAATAACGATTAACATATAAAGTGATGATTAAGGTGCTTTTAGTTTAATAATTAATCTACGCTAGGTTACCATCATAATTGCACACCCATGCAATATACTGACGTCATGATATCACTATTGGTTTTCAACATGTGATATAAATGCTTCCTTGCCTAACTGATTTCACCCACATACACACACAGGAACATTGATAGTCTATGCCACATGAAAATAATTTTGCAAATCTTCACTGAAGGAAAATAAGTGGACAGAATACTTATTTGAAAGTAGCAATATTGGTAAAGTAAATTGTGTATCCCCAGTGATGTATGCAAATAATTTTTTATTATGTATTTTGTGTTTGTCTGAGAAAAGTAACCGCATGGAAACATTTTTGAGTTGTGATTAGGTATAATTGTGGCCATAATGCAAGGCCAGTGGTTAAAATGCGTTCAAGTTTTTATATGAACGTTCTCGGCATGTATTATCATATATTTCCGGCAATGAATGTAGCTATAATGATTGTACTTATAATGATTATAATTAAATCTACTGTATAACACAAAAACGTCCTAGAAGTGCGACAATCATACCTGTTCAATACAGGGCGGTACAAACGGGGGAAAATGCAACTTACAATTTTTAGAAGTTGTATGTAACATCTTGTTTATAAAAAACACTGTCCCTCATCCAAGAAAAATCAGTGCTCTCCCCCAGCTCAAAAATTCTGCGTACGGCCTTGCTATTCTATTGTGCTTTTTCCTATTTTTATTGTTTTTATTATTTGGTGTTAAATATCAGACAGTGTCTTGGGCCTACTGGTTAAGCATAGCATATCCTAAGACCATCAAGTCCGAATTTCTCAAGATGCTACTTACATATTACTATCATTTTCGAATGAGATACACAAGTCACACATGCGCTTATTTACGCGAAGTAAAATAGCGCTTGTCCCGCAAACTAAAAGCGGAATTAACGAACCGTAGCATAAGCATATTGACTGGCTGTTCGATAATTTATTCGGAATTTCCGAAGGCACACGAAGTGTCTAAGTGAAAACACTGGAACGCGTTCATTTCGAAACGCGTTCAGAATGCGTTGGTCGCATTACGTTACTTCTGATCAGTACTGTACCTTATCTAGAATTGGAGAAGTGAAATGGGCAAAATTTGAGTCTTTTTTTAACCACATCATTTTTAATCACAGTGACATTTTGAAACCTCGTGTTTGGTTAACTAAGGGCAATGTTAAGTTTATGTTGAAAACACAAGACAGGGTAAAGTATTTCTAACCACCAGTAACAACATATATGTCTATAGGTTCTGTTGCATATGAAAAATTGGTGTAAGCACTTACTAAGAAAAGGCTAGTAAAGGCTGTTAAACAAGCATCATCTGTGGCCCAAACCAGCTGCTTGGAAGGATACCACTCAGTTGCTAATCAGTTTGCCCAAAAATGACCCATTACTCATACACTGGAATGCTTTGCAGGTAGATTACATATAGCAAATTGCTAACAGAAGAAATTTTGGAGTGAAGCAAGACTTTGTAAGTCATAAAAAATTTACTTACTCGAATAAGATTAATGCAACGAAGATGTCACCAGATGTATTGTCAGCTCATTTGTAGTGCGATGTGGCTGTTCCTAATTAAGTTCCTTTCCTTAGACACTTCTTTAGCATATATTGAGCAAATTTATGAAACCATGACAAGTACTCCAAGAAAAGAACTGCATGTTCTGTCCATGTCATGAACTGTCCACCTACATGCTCAGGTAAAATTAGTTGCATTTTTTTAATCATTCAGTAAATAAAATAATTCAAAAATTCTTTTTAGATCAAGAACTGCAGGCTTTGTTGAGCAAAAAGTCTAAAGGACAGGCTGCAAGAAAACCACCAACATGCAAGACTTGTGGAAACCCAATGAAAGGTCACAAGAAGGTGGATTGTCGTGTAAATAGTTTGGACTATTTTGTAAATATTTTGACCACAGTTTTAATCATACAGTCACCATTTCATTTACACAGCGTCTTTTCATCCTATGTGAAGACTGCATTCACCTCCCTTACCCTATTTATGTCCTCGTCATCTTCAAAGCCAGTGTAGTCGCGGTCATCTGTGTTGGGAAATGTCGAGCGTATCCTTTTGTAGCAGCAACACGGTAGTTGGATGTGTCGTGAGCTGCCAGTGAAATCCCACACCAAACGCACCAGTTGCCTGTATGACACCGCTCGTAAGAACCTGCAAAGATATACATATATAAATTGTCAGCAAATATTTACAGGACAAAAGTGTGGTTTACATTTAACGTTTAAAACTTACTCCGCTCTTGTCTTTTGACCTTCTCGAAACACAGAACTATAATTCCTGTGCCCTTTTGCCTTTAATCCCAACGACGCAATTTCCAAAACCCATGCATTTAGACACACGTCGTTAAAACCCGGGTGATCAACAATGAATTTTTGATGGCCTTCGTTTTCATGTTCATACAACTTATCCCTGCACTGACTTATTTCCATAAAAAAGCGACACTCTTCAGGATTCACAATCATGTCGTGGGAACAATTGCCACATTCGCACCTTGCAAACAAGAAAAGGCTTAAATAATGTTTGTTCTGCTGTATATAATTATAACAATTATACATACACTTACCAAGAAGTGACGTCCACTTGTGCTTCAAAACGTATTCGCGTATACGAGCTATTTTTACATGGGTAAAATCATGTCCAGAAAAATTTACACTTTTTGATGACAGATTTTCGTCACAGTGGCACTTTAAAAAAATGAAATAGATTTAGTAAAAGGCATGCCAAAAAGTTATCTATCTTATGTTTTTCCTTTGTAGTTGTGCCAGTGCGTTATGCCAGAAAAAACATTTGTAAAATTAAATTATGTGATGAAGTAAATGCGTCAGAGTGCGGTTTCCGAACCGGGACTATAAGTACATATAATGGCCGAACTATTTCGGTAGCTATAAAGTATTGATTGTTGAGTATGGCGTTGTTAAAATCGTTGTAAAATATTAATTGAAAACCCAACGTGTTAGTTGTGAATCAGCGTGTGCAGACAAATTCGCTGAACGAATACAATGAATTCTGCGACAACAATGTGTTGTTTTATTTTTTACTTACATTCTCCTCTTTCACAAATACCATAATGCTTTGCGCTTTGGGGGGACTGCGATGTAAACAAAATGGGGGACAGACAGAAAATATCAATTGCGAAGCTTGTAAACTCGTTAAAGACGTTCAAGGACATTGCACAACTGTCGAAAACAAAATTAAAACATATCGCTAAGAGTTTGGACATTGACGTTGAAAAGTCGTTTGGAAAGAAAGCCATACTTAATCTTGTCTGTAATGGTTTAAACATATCAACTTCGTCTTCGAGTTCGTCTGTGCCGTTGCCCCAACCTGCTGAAGACCAAATCTTACCGTCGATAAGGCTGCTACAGAAACTAAAAAACTGGAGCAAGAGTCTCACCGGGTTACCGCAAGTTGTGGACGAGTCCATGGTAAAGACCTTTTTAGTTGGAGCGGGTTATACCAAAGCGGACGTCAAGAAATACAAAACCCTTCGTGCTTGGGAGCACAAACAAGGAGTTCACTCTTTAAAGTAAGTATTTACAACAACATATCTAGTGCACAATATTTGTCTGTAGCAGAAACATTTTTTCCTAAAAATTTATACCTATATAAATATTAATATATTTCCGTTTTGCTGTTTTGCTGTAAATTAGGGTTCATTCATTACCAGAGTTTGAAAATATGTGGGTCCTAAGAGGTTGTTGCAACCCATCATTCTCCACCGATCCAGAAGAAATGAAGACAATGTATGTTGTCATGCACATGGAGACCAGCAAGCCATTATTTGCATATTGTACCTGCACAGTTGGGTAAGCTATTTTTGCAAATTTGGTGTGATGGTAGTAAGTGTGATGGTAGTAAGCGTGTTTTTTCCATCATAAAGTTTGCGAGGTAATTGCAGCCATGTTGGTGCTTTGTTGTTTGTCTTGGCTGACATTATTGCAGAAGGAAAAGTGCAAATCCCTTCAGACCCTACTTGTACCGACTTGCCTTGCTCATGGACAGAACCTAAAGGTAAAATAATCATACATAATCTAACATGTCAGCACTGAAATAGAATACGATATTTCTGCACATTTTTCTTTGTAGAATCATCTTAAGAATTTTTGCTATCAGCTGCCTGTGAATTATTGTGGAATAATCTTTGCTCTTTTTCCAGGTGCCAAAGTAAAACCAGCAATGGTTGAAAATATAAATATTTACAAAGCTAAAGTGGGAGAGCAACCACCTGAAAATAAATTCCGACCATCTCCTGCAATAACAGAGGATTTGTACAAAAACAGTGATGAAAATCCCCTAACAAAGGAAGAACGAAAATCAAACTTGAGGCAGGCAATTCTAGAAGCAAATATGGGTAAACCAATGCCTCCATAGTTTACCTGTTATCCAAGGTGGAAAATGATTCTGCCCAACCTGCATCTGAGTGTAATCTACCAGATGTTTATATTTGTGAGAATTATAATGCAAGTTTAGCTATTTGTTGTGATATTGAAGTACAGACTAGCTCATATGCAAATGCTGACAATAATGAAATTGAAGAAATCTTAGAACATAATCCTGGTAATACAGTTTGCTTGCAAGAAATTCGAGAAAGAGCAGAAAATGTTTTGAGTGAAATATGTGTAAGCCAGGAGGAAGTTGGTTCAATAGAACGGGAAACCAGAGGCCAGCACAAAAATCCACTGTGGTTTACACACCGCATGCCAAGGATAACTGCATCAAAGTGTAAGCGGGCAATTCAAAAAGTGACTACAAGTCCCACTAAAGCATTGCGTGACATATTGGGCTACAACAAGCTCATCCAAACATCATACATGCAAGATGGAAAGGATTCAGAACACAAAATTATAGAAATGTATGAACAAAGAAACAATGTCAATGTCCAACCATGTGGATTTTTCATATCTGTCACCCATCCGTTTCTTGGTGCAACACCAGATTGTTTGGTTGGGGATGAGGGTATAATTGAAGTAAAAAAGATCCACCCACACACTGCAGAATCCTTACTGGATGCCCTCAAAAGGCAATGTATATTAAAGGAAACAGGTAATCAAATCTCATTTAATAACAATCACCCCTACTATTACCAAATTCAACAACAGCTGTTTTGTTCAAGAAGGTTATGGGCTGATTTTGTTGCTTCAGATGGAAAGGCTATATTTGTTCTGAACACTGCTTACTGCCAGAAATTTTGGGAACAGCAACTACCCAGGCTTAGGAAATTTTATTATGCCATTATTTTATTGGAGCTTGCATATCCTCGGGTTAAGTTTGGACACAGTAGAATTGGTAAACTTGGAATTACATATGAATCTCTCAGCACTGTTGTAAGAGAGGAATAATTATTATACAAATACCATTGAATTATTAGGGCTGCCCCAAGGGTTTCTAAATGTAATAAAGTAATGTAATACTATATCAAGTGCTCACTGATAGTACCACATATATATGTGCAGCAAAATTTACAATAACCCACTGGTAATATTAATGAAATGCATTAATAATTTATTTATCCATTGTTGAAAACTTTAAATAGTTGAATTGTACATATAGTTTACTTATACTGTAATTTATTGTACAGACAAATAATATGTTAGGGAAATATATATCAAAGTATGATTCTGAAATGTTTGATATTGAAAAGCTTTGTTTCCAATGCTCTATTCAATATTTAATTAACTGTCAACCTATTGTAGTATTGGGGACTGGAAATTAACTAAATAGGCACAAAAATAAATATTTGTAAAGTAAATATTTGCTCAGCTAAGTGTGTCATAGTCAAAGGTATTTCAGTTCGAAGAATACGATAAATCTTGATTCTCTGTATTGCCCTCTCCACATGTATTCGTGCAACTGCTATATTTTCTGACCTTCTACTTTCAACTGCCCTCATTTGTGAGCGGTCTTTCCCCTTAAAATCTGGGATGATAACTTTAACACTTGGAACACTTAAGACATCATCTATGTCAAATCCTCTATCAGCCATTATCTCATCCCCCTCTTTCATTGCATCTAGTAAATCATTACAGTTTGATGTAATATGTTTGTCCGAAGTGCGCCCACCCCAAGCTCGAGAAACATAAACAACTGCTGCATGTGTGTCAATTTCAACTAAAAACTTGAATGTTGTGTGCCCTTTATAATTGGAATATATTTCTTTGCATGTTTGCAATGATGATGGTTTCTCTGTAAAAATTTCTGTACAATCAATGATAATCTTCACATTTGGAAAATTGGAAAAGTGCTTGGCCTTTCCTTCATCCAGGGATTCTGGCATTTGGCAGAGGTCTTTTAATTCAAAGTACAATAAATTGATCCAAGTAGTGAATATTTTGCTAATATTGCCTTCACTGAGCATAAAACGCGATGCCAAGTCAGTCAAGGTGAGCCCAAGTCTGAGGCGAATCAGAACCATAAAAAATTCCTCCTCAAGTGATAACTTGCTTGGGGCCCCTCTCTTTCTTTCTGTTACATTTACCTTGCGTAACAAATCAGATCCCCTCCAGTTTCTCTTGTTTACTAAAGCACACTCCAGGTACTGAAACAAAGCACTGAAAGAACCATAATTAGGAAATCCAGTCCAAAACTGAAAGCTAGAATCATCATGCTTCAATTGGGCTAAAATGAGGCATCGTGAGCGAAGATTTTTGTTTTCTTCTTCAAGTTTCTGTACTGTACTTTCTAAGTCATTGATATGCTTTAAGGTTTCTGAATCAAAGTTTAGGTTGTCTGGATAAGCCTGTGTTCTACAATAATCATGTGCTTTCAGAGGATGGCTTGAAGGAAGGCATACTCCCCAAACATTGTGCCTTCCAAAGTTATCATCTTGTGGTTACCTTTAAGCCTCCCTTTTCGAGTGGGTACCTAAGTTAAAATATAAAGGATTTTAACAATTGCTGCACAGTGCGCAAATGTTGAATGTTACAGAACAGGTTATGAATTATTAAAATTCACAACTGGTTTTTAAAAAGCGTATCTAATTGGTCTATGGATAAAAAGATGCCAATGAAACCTTTGAGGAAAAGATAAATCAGAAGGAAGTTTAGACAGGCTTACCGGCATTCTTCGTTGCCTCTTCAGCTTCGGTTCTGTAATAACTTCCAATGCTGTATCTTTGGTGGCACTGTTGTTCGTGGTCCTTGGAGTTGTTTGTGCCAAGTGAGAGTGTTCAAAAATCGAAAAAATAAAATTTCGACTGGTTCTTTCATCTGACTTGACGCCGTCAGCGAAATGAGAAGAACACAGTCGTGTGTTTTCAGAAGGGACAAAATCACGCCTAATTCTAGCCAGCCAGCTCTTTCTCCTAGTTTTCTCTTTAGGAATTCTGTAGAATTGTAGTTCAGGGTTTTTCGTTCGGTTATTTGAACATCCAGGAGCACAACAATAGTCTTTTTTACCCATTATTAACAATGTAAAATTGTAAACAAATGGTACAAAGGAAATATTTTTTAAATAACCCCCCAAAGCGCAAAGCATTATGGTATTTGTGAAAGAGGAGAATAGCGTGGTTACAATGACCGGATATTTGTTAAACTAGACGTTACTATCGCGAGGGGAGTGCTGCCAGGCGCAAAAAGCATTTTGTACAAACAACGATCGGTGATTACTTTAGCAAAGACACGGTTAATGAACATGCTGAATTTCATCCTGTTATTTGCCTTTTGGTTGCTTTTACACGACAATTTTTTTCTCCTGTTGTATGTAAAGTAGATGAGTTATGAATGTCTTTTATAATTTGCTTCAATGAGCAACCATAATGTTTTGTGCTTGAATACGCTCAATATCACATGCGTATCAAGATAAGAAATTTGTCAAAAACTATTTGACCGCGCAAAAGCAGCCTTAATCAAGTGAACTAGACCAGCAAGCATTATAAAACCAATTCAACATGAATCACATTGAATTGTTTTTATTTACATGATTGCTCTGATGGAGGCTTGCAGTTTACAGCCGATATTTAAGTTGTATTTAAAGAATTTTACCGCTTTAAAGTGTATATGCAAGGAAAAATGAAAAAATTAAAATTATGAAATTCCGAAAGACTTTACTGCCCTTGACTCGGTAAAAATTTTTTTTTGTTGTAAAAGCGTTGCTAAAGTCTTCAAAACGGCCTAAAACTTACGAGAATTACGCGTTTTTTCAATCGTAAACTGTTGAAAGACTGGTACCGAGAGTTTCGGACTTGTGACGTATGCAGTGTGACACAGCAATAAAGCTTGGCTATAAGAAAACAACAAAACATCACTGATCGCGAGACAGTGGCTTGTCTTTTTTGTTGCATTTGTGCGAAATGTCGGATAACGAAAGCTTTGAATCACAGACAGATACAGAACAGTCGACAGATAGCGAAGACGTTGCTGAACGCCTGAACAGTCGTCTGTTGTACAGCCCTATCGTCTGTTGTACAGCTGCCGAAAAGTTTGATGCGTATAACACGCAATCCACCTTCGCGCTTTATGTGGTTAAATATGACAGACGAACTGAGGTTCTTTGGCCTACGTATGGCATATATCAATTTTCAATTTTTCTCATTCGTTTTGTCATAATAAGAAACAGTATAAATCAAAACTATCTGCCTGGTTTCTATGTAAATGCCGTTATTGTACATGGCCTATCCACGCCTGTTGCAAAGCATATATGATTTCATTAGTGATAAGGAATTAAATTTCTGTTTGTCTTCTCTGTAACCGGCTAAATTTTTAGTATAAGTGCGTACCTATATTGGCGCGACAACCACGATTTGCGAGTAAGGAATAAATTACGCGTAAATAGGATACCAATACAGCACATCTAATCACCACAAATAGACGAAAACAGGACAGGTCAAAAGACTGAAACGGCAGACAAACAGGCTATAAATCTACCTAGGTTCACAATATAACATATAGCCTAGTATAAAAAGTTTGTTGAATCAACGAAATGAAGTCCATCCGGTACTCCAATATTAATTACGGATTATAAATATAACCAGAGAGGTGCTGAAATCACCTAACGCTCGCCTGCACTGTTTGTCTAGAATAAGGCTAAACTCTGTATGAAAGGTATCTGTATGAAGCACAAATTACCGATCTTTTCATTACAAATTACAAAGCTAAAATCCGCGTTGGAAGGTAATATTAAGCACAAACTTCAGATATTAGTTGTGACCTCAGAATTACTGGCCAAAACTGGCCGCGGAATTACATTAGTTTTATTTGTGACCAATATTTCTTCCGTTTCTCGCAATCCGCGCACGCGATATCAACTTGTAAGTTAACGGACCAGGCAAAAGTCCCTGCTTTAAGCCGGGCGCACACACAACGATTTTACGGTAGTTCATAGTTGGTCCATTCAGGTTTAGACATATAGGCAGCCCTTGCCCAGACATGTTTTCCTTCTCGCGGCGCTCGCGCCTCGCGCGTGTATAGATCGCCAGTCGCCACATTTTGATGAAAACATCCATCTAGACAATCTAGACAGGAATCGGCAGACTAAAATCTTCGTGTGTGCGCCTAGCTTTATGAAATAAACAAGATTGGATTTTTATATCTACACAAAAAAGGATTATGCATCAAACAACGAAAAAGTATGTACATAAATCTTATTGGTAGTTCAAAGGGTCCTGTCTACAATTTAACTGGCTTTAATAATATATTTGCATGTGTATCTACATAAATAATATGCAAATATATGATGTCACATGCGTTGCCATTTGCCTTTGCATTCCGAGCCTATTGGCTTTCTACTTTTAATACTTATGTGCTAAAGCTTGTAATTGCGAATTATCTGACAATATTCTTTAAACTTTAACGTTGGACTATGTTTTATATATTTTCACTCCCTGAATGATTTCTATATTAAGCGATTGAATTTTGATACGGTATGTCACAACACAATCTCATAATTTATAATTGTACATGTACAATACAAACAAATGGTAGCATACAGGTGAAAATATTTGAAAGTTTCTCATTTGGCTTAGGGTTGTACAAATACTTTCGTTAAATATGATTCAGCTACAACTTTGAACTAAAAAAAAAACAGGGCTACACATTAGCCCTGAAAATCGTAATCAGCGTGATAACTCTGGATATAACTCTAACATTAACCTTATCATGATGCTAATAAGCTTAACATTTGCCTTATCATTTGATAATTTTGAGCAAAGCTCTCTTTATTATTGTATAAATGTGTACCAAATGGCACTGAATAGTCACAATGCATATCGATGACTTATATTTATGATGATTCCTCTGATGTAAAGCCATAATATTTAAAAAATATAGCATCTTAACATTGACCTTATCATTATGCTAATTAGCTTAACATTCACCTTATCATTTGATAATTTTGAACAAAATTCCCATTATTTTTGTGTAAATGTGTACTAAATGTCACCATATAGTCACAAGACATATCGATGAGCTATATTTATGATGAATCTTCTGATGCAAAGCCATAATATTTAAAAAATATAGCATCTTAACATTGACCTTATCATTATGGTAATTAGCTTAACATTCACCTTATCATTTGATAATTTTGAGCAAAACTCTCTTTATTATTGTATAAATGTGTATCAAATGGCACTAAATAGTCACAATGCATATTGATGACTTATATTGATAATGATTCCTCTGATGTAAAGCCAAAGTATAGAAAAAATATAGCATTTTAACATTGACCTTATCATTATATTTTGTTGTATAATTTTCACTCCCCCCTGGTAAATGGTTCTTTTGCAACAAATAGACTCCTTAAGTAGATAAGTTGAAAATAATTGGAAAATAAAAATGGCATCTTAACATTCTACTTATCATGTAGTGTGGACGCGGACGGGGACAGTGACGGGGACGGGGACGGGGACGGGGACGGGGACGGGGACGGGGACGGGGACGGGGACGGGGACGGGACGGGACGGGACGGGGACGGGGACGGGGACGGGGACGGGGACGGGGACGGGGACGGGGACGGGGACGGGGACGGGGACGGGGACGGGGACGCGGACGCAGACGGGGACGCGGACGCGGACGCCAAGACTATAGCAATAGCTCTCTTGCACTAAAGTGCAGGCGAGCTAAAAACTGTTCTAGTAGATGCACAACGAAAATACCCACAGTTCAAATGTAGCTAGTTAGAAAGCTAGAATTTGGCGAAAGGAAGTACAACTGCGCAGCGTCAATTTATATACTAATATGCGGCGGCTTATAAAGCGACTAAAAAGTAAAAATTGATGTATTTTGATATGATTCTCTTCACTTGACCAATAAACTGCATCTACAAGACGCATATTTCTTTGGGAGCTCATCAAATTGCAAAAATATTGCGATTTTATGTGGTAGACGCTGCAATGTTTATAGTTGTTTATAGTATTTCTAAATAGGAAGAGCGCACTGTGTCACACTGCATACGTCATCACGACCTTTTGGCCGCGCGAGGAATTTCAACAGTTTTTATTTTCATAGCCCAACTTTAAACCTAAATTTTTCTTACTTCTAGTCCGAATTTGTCGACAATGTTGGTATTTTTATGATCGGAAAAGAACAAATTTTCATAAAATACAAAAAACCCGAAATCGAAATTTTCATTGCATATACACTTTAAACTTGGAATGTTTTTAAATAGATCAGTTTCAAAACTTAAATAGTTTATCATGTACTCTACTGATCGCCAGAATAGCATAATAGCAGCATATACATATATTCAATTTAGTTTCAAGTGGGATTTGTTTAGAGGTTGCTTTAACAACAGGGGCGGATCTAGGGTAAGTCCAGTCAGTCGGAGCAGGGTTTGGCAGTGTCAATTACCGGAGAAGACCCGCACGAGAAGACCCAATTACACGAGAGAGCCCCGGCCATATATGGAGTGATACATAGAGGAGTGATATGCAATGCCGCCATTATTGAGTAAAAATCTGTTTTCTAATTCAACATGTCGGACCATTTTAAAGATATTTAAAAAGTGAGATCTATATGACAAGTTGGCTTAAGGAAGGATTGGGAGTTTAAGCATTGCCAATAGAAAATGTCTGAGACTACTAAGGAAAAATACAGCGCAGATCGTGTAAGTAAAAAATATATATTAAAACTATATAATTGTGAATATTTTACATGTGATTTATATAGATGTGAATATTATAAATGGACAACAATGTTCAACTAAATACTAGCATATATTTACAAACAAATTTTAAGTTGATATTTTCAAAGACAATGAAAATTTCCCTTGGGCTTTAGCAAAGTCCAATTGAAATGTTTCATAAGGACATAGGTGAAAGAAGATTCTGATAAATTTGTGGAGTTGTCAGTATATTATGTACACAATGACCATCAAGGGTGTCTAAAGCCGGTTTTCCACTAGCGATATTATTCGTGCGAATCGACATTTTACATTTGTTCCAGAGCTCTTAACTGCAACCATCTGGAACAAATTGCTCAAATACAAAGGAATAAAGTCGCTTCGCAAAAATATTGCTAGTGGAAAACCGGCTTAACAGTGGCAGCTATCTGTGAAAATATCAGCCTGGTATTATGTTCAACAGATATTATGAAACATGATGTTTTCTTAAAGGTTTATGCCATATATAGTCCTGATGTAATTACTTCCAACTTTATTAATTAGCTTTCTTTAATGCACTCTTTACTGCAGAATCCTGGATATTCAAGAGTTGAGTAAAATTTTCTGAACTCGCCAAATTTACCATTTCCAATAAAGCCATACATTTCTTTAAATGACATGCCACATTGAAAACAAGTTTTTATTTCATACATTTTGTAATTCTCCTCTTTGAATTCTTTTGATGATGAATTCCATTCCCACACACTGTTTAACCAGGCGAAGTGAGTGGTGCGTCTAAAAGAGTCTCTTCCCACTATCTGTCTAAATCGCTTACAAACCAAGCTAATTGTTAAGAATCCTTTATCACCTTCCTTTAATACTTCTTTAAAGACAGACTCTAAGCCATCATCTGATAGAGACAGAATATTTCTAACCTTTGCTTTAAGTGTGTATGTGGCATGGTCATCCTCATTGCAATGTTCAGTTTGTTTCCTAAAAGCAATTGGTACTTGTAAATGAATTGTCTTTTACTAGCTACCCAAAATTTAGAGTATGTGTTAGTGAGAATAGTTCTCAACAAATTCCATTATGTCAACAATAGATTTTAAGTGACATCCATTTAACTGACCTTATTGGTATTTGGAAGTTTTTTTCAGGATTTGCTAGGCGAACAGCCATGTATTTTCTTAAACATGGTATGTCTTCCTTTAGGTAAAAATGCAATATGATTTATCATAAATTTAAACATATTAAAATACAGCAGGGGTTTTTCTGTGGTTTAAATAATGTAGTTACCAGAAATTGTACTTCGATATAATTACCTGTGTAAAGTTCACATCCAAACCATTGACCATATAATCAGCTACCTAACAACAAAATATGCCGCTAGACATTACAGTAATTGAAGCAATGGGAAAAACATAACTATAATATATTAGATAATTTATATCAAATGTATTTTTCACTTACCATGCATACAAAAACCCCACATGAACTTCCATCAAGCTGTCTGGGTTCAAATTTTGTGGAGTTATCAAAATATTTAACATCTGGTGGACTCATTTCTGGGCATATTGCCTGAAGGTGTGCTATCAGTAATCTATAAGTTGAGTGAATGTTAAGTAATACATCCATGTCAAAACATTTTTTAACACCTAATTTATCTGTCCATTGAAGGCCTACCTAATTTTTTTGTGGAAATTTCTCTCTTCTCTTAACATTGCCATAGCCATAGGGTCATAAAGAAATATGGTACATGAAGTAAAGTCCACTACCTATAAGGATTTATTTAGAACAACAGTCCAGAAGTGAAAAGTATTGCCTAAAACGTAAATTTATTGAGTTGAATTTATTTTTTTAGGAACCTGACTAAATAAAATATTCGTTTTCTAAATTTTTGAAACAGAGGCATATACTGTATGTATATTGTATTCTATCGCAGGTTCTATGCGGTTCTATCGCAGCTCAAAAGGCACTTGTTTTTAAATGAAGTCTTTATGTTTACTACTTTCCATTACAAAATTATAAAAAACCCTGGGTTTTTTGCTATTATACTCGCATTTAAAAAATGACTTACCCCAAGACTCCAGTGATTATTGTCCCAATTTATTGGTATGAAGCACAGGTCTGCTTTAAAGAATGGGTTCTGAAAGATCCCACACAGAAATCAGCGTTGAGCAACATACAGTATAAAGCATTATTTTGAAAGAAACGAATCCATACCTTTTGAATCCATTTCGTTATGGAATGGACGCCATATTTACATAGTTTTGTGTACATGAAGCTGCTCATGACTGCTACACGATTGGTACCCTAGTAAAGATAAATATTTAGCTGATTAATATATATCACAAAATAAGGAATACCAAGTGATCTTATTTAAATATAGAGGATATAGCACGGATTTTATGTTCGAGTAGCAAAAACAATCTCACGAGTGAGCGCACCGAACGAGTGAGAAATTGTTTTTGACACGAGTGCCATATCTTCAAGCGAACCGTATAATGTTCTGTTTATTATATGGATTTAAGCGAAAAATATTTTGAATGTTATTCCTCAATCCTCAGCGTGACATACGAAAAATACGCGCACCTGGTCCCTGATGTAGTGGCGTATGAGCGTTCCACTAGTGTTTTAGTTCCCAGTAAACTACCCTTGTTCATATAATAAACTGTTAAGAACACTATCTGCGGTTGTTATTCTAGTTTCAGTACAGACAGTAGTTTACTTTCCCCTACCTGAGATTTTCTTTGTACATCGATTAGAAAATTGTTTATTATCTAAATTTCAATGGAAAAATACATGTTTATTCATGATGTGAGTTACTGTAGCTATGTGGGTTCTCGGAATTCTATATCAATTACACCAGTGATTACCTTATCATTTAGCCATCCTTCGTTATACGTTTCTCCATGTTTGGTTGCGTATTGTTCAAGCAATGTTTTTTCATAGTCGGAAGGCGCTTGGTCAAGCAGCTTGATGTCGTAATACATTAACGGCGTTCCGTTGATGTGTGATACAATGTGATGTAGCTGATGTCCCTTGCGCAAATCCCAATACCAATAGTCTATCGTATATACTAAAGCATAATCACAATGTATATTATATTAACGACGAAATGCTATACTATATATCCGTACCAAAATGAAGATTTAAATTCCTTATCTTCCAGCTCGAAGTAGTTTAGCAGCATATTTTCCACCGTTTGAAGACATTTTTCTCTACTTGGCAGGTTTAATACTGTGAAGGCAACATCCTGGTGCTCGTTATGTTTTCCACAACTTCGGCATACTAACTGCACCCTTTCAACTCCACGACAGGCACTGATTTTTAAATGAAATGGATGTTTTATATCGATGCCATGCGATATCAATAGATCGGAACATTTATAATTGAGTCAAGCAACAGATAGGTATTATACTAAATTAATTGTATATAATATTTACCTGCTTACCTGCAGGACCACCAATGAGAACCAATGAGCGTTTAGTTGATATCTCAAAAAAGATTACGTTTCCTTAGCTTAGGCGGAGTGACCCTCGGATAGTTTTCTCAAAATTCCGTATGAATTCCTGTTTTATTTCGCTAATTTGAAGGCTTTCGATGTTGTTTAAAAACATGGAAACTGCAGGATAATGTAGTTTAATCATCGGTAATTATTAGGTTGTAGTTTTTGTGGCGTTTCTTCAAGTAATTTTTTAGATAATTATACATTTACGAAGGTATATCTGTCATATTTTGATAAACTCTTTCCTATCTTGTCATAATATATGGACGAAATAAACAACGTAAGCGCGACACGCGCGCGAGTATCACACGCGCAAGTCAAAGTCTGGGCTGCCTATGGTATAAGATGTTAAAAAATTGAGTTAATAATATTTGGGAACAATTCTGAGAGCCTAATTCGAGGTACCGCTCACTGCGTCCTAAGAACGCAGATATCTTACACAGAATCTTCACCACGTCTCTCACATCTAGAATTACAAATTTTAAGTGAAATGCTGTGAGTGAATACACGTAGTACTTCCAGATAGTAATGGCAATATTGCGCGTCAAAAACTTGATCTTGTTTACACAATGATAAACTATACAATATTATATCGTGCATGGTTGTGCTGAATGCTGATGACAATATTTTCTACCGACTTGAGATCGCGAATATTACGCACTCGTATAGGATGAAACCGCAGTACTATGGTACGTGTGCTCAAAAAATCATCCTGACCAACAAAAATCGATGAAATCGAGATGCATGTCAAGAATATAAGGTTAAATATTCATTTATTTTCAGTGACCTATACATTGATAACATCGTCGTCGTGCCCCCGTCCTACATGCTTAAGGTCCTTTTTGGAATGCTGCAAGAGAAGCTAATATCAGCATTTTATTATTGATCGAAACATGTATAATGTCTTAATGACGGCCATGCTAGCTGAATAAAATTGTGTATAAGTCATGAACAAAGCAGAAGCATTGTGCGGTCCTCGTGTATTACACGCGTAGCACTGTGTGGACATAAAATGCAAGTCCACATTATGGAAAAATTCTTGTACAAGTTACCTGTGCTGGTAAACGCTAGTGCACTTGCTATCGTGCTTGCTATCGTGCTATCGCAATGGTTCCATTCGACCGACTCGAATAATAAACATTTTACTTGTTAAATCTCTGTTCTTGCAGTGCGTGAAAATGAGAGCTTTTCATATTGACCCTATAATTATTTTTGCGATGTGAAAAGAATAAATTTAATTTCCACGAGGATACAAGCGCAGTTAATGAAGTATGATGTTTCCAGCAATCTGTTTAAAATTTAAAATCTATTTTTTTCCACAACGCTATATCTTGTCACAGCATGGTAGAAGATAATTGGCGAATGACAAATGCATTTGACAATAGGTGTCCGCTGATGAATATTGAATATTTAACCAAGATTACAAAGATTTTTATCTAACTAATTCAGTGTCGATCTCTAAAGAATGTAGATGCTTAGATATCGTCGCTCTTCTGAATATTATTGCAGGATAATCTTTTGAAGGTAGGGAATTAACCTTCATATGTATACGCAGCAATTTTCCCCAGGACGTTAAACGAAGCTAAGAATTCATTAGAAAACAGGCAATAAGCGGCAAACTTTATTCGAAGCATTATCGTGCATTCATGGTAGCCCATTCGCATGCTCTCACTTTGTGCATAATTTATTTTTTCCCACAATGGCCTTATTCCACACTATATAGACGGTAGTATCACTTACACAAGAGGATATTTACCTTAACTATAGAATCGGCCAAGAACGGTTACTTGGTAATCTAGTGAGAGTGTAAACCATAACCTTAACTCCCAGTGTAGACATGGTCCCTGAAATTCGGCTAAAACTCAATGGTTCAATTCCTGCGCTCTTAAATGAATATGAGCTGGAATTTGTATCCAGGAAAATTGAGGTGTTGAGTTTATTTTTTGAATCTTCCGCGCAATTCCAAATAAATTATATTGAAATTGTGTGGCGTACATGTAATTTGTTCTGGCCAGTGAGTTTTCACTGCCACGTATGCAACATATATGTCAGACTTTACACGCATTGTGAGTTTCAGTTTGACATGTTATATATCGCACAAAACAGTGTTAAAAGTCTCACAACTGTCTCACTATTAAATAATTTATGAAAGGTCTCCCTGTTGAATGTTGAATAGTTTAGAGCGACTATTCACTGTTAGTACACATTGCATGAAGGAAACCATGCATTTAATCCATAATTCCATTTCATTTATTTCAGTGTTGCATGGAGAAAATAGTAAAACTATTTGCCTGGGATTTGTTTGTCCATAAGAACTTATGGAGGTTATTGATATGTCTACATCTGATGATGAGACTAATGACTCGGACTTGGCCACTGCTGATCCACTATTGGAGTTTGAGCAACTACAACGAAATTATGAGAAAACTGCTGATGATGATGATACCTCAAATAAACTGTAATTATTCAAATGTAAAGTTGTGAATAATATAGTGATCTTTATTATGCCCATTACCATGCTCACAATCTGTCTATATTCATTTTTTTAGAATAAACCATTGGAAAAACAAAAGAGATGAACCCAAGGGCATTGTTTTTCTTTCTCAACTACTGCTTCTTGTACAACATTGTCACATCTGTTTTAGTCCTAAACCACAAGTAAAAACAAGTCGCTGTGGAACCATGATAGTTGTCAGCACACATTGGAAGACCTGCAAGAAAAAATTTATCTGGAAAAGCCAACTTACTTTTCTAGGAAAGTTTCCAGCTGGGAATATCCTTCTTAGCTTTGCTATCCTATTTGCAGGAGCATCCCCCAGAAAAGTACTTCAGGTATTCAAGAATATGGGAGTTTTAGGCTACAATGAAGTGACATATTACTACCATCAAAGGCAATTTCTCTTCCCTTCCATTGTAATGTATTGGAATTCCTACCAGAAAAAGATCTTGGATTCTCTGAAGGGAAAAGAAGTAGTGTTAGCTGGAGATGGACGACATGACAGCATGGGGCATTTTGCAAAGTACTGCACATACACTTTGTTTTGTTGCACAGTTGGACTCATGATTCACCTAGTAGTTATTCAGGTAATTACAAAGCCAAAATATTCATAAAAGTAAATAAAACATAGGCCAATTACCGCAATGTTTCACTAAGTACACTTCTATTCCACAGGCAAACCAAGCAGGGAGTAGCACAGCAATGGAGGCTCTAGGTCACAAAAAGCTTTGTCATTTCTTCTTTCAACTGCTATCATCATAACAACATTTGTATCAAACCGTCATGCGACAATTACGAAGTGGATGAGAGAGACGTGTCCTAAAATGTGCAAGCAAGCAGTCATAAAACACTTCTTTGATTTGTGGCATATTGGGAAAAGTATTTGTTTTATTATTTTTTTAAGCTGCCCGATGTTGGTATAAACACTAAAGCATTTTAACTGCTATTTTGCAGAAATTCAAAAGATTCTGATCAAACTTGCGAAGGAAAAAGATTGTGAAGTACTTGGGAAATATAGAAAAGCATGTGTGCGGCATTTCTACTGGGCAGCTACATCTGCAGTACTGCTCAGAAATAACCTAATCAAAAACGCGTTCCGAACGCGTCCGGAACGCGTTTCAGGACTTCGATACAGTTTGAATGCTGTGTTGTCGCCGACAAGGAATGAAGTGCAGGTATGAACAAACATGCAATTGTTAAAGTGCCTATATCACTTGTGGGATCTTTACGGTTTGAATAGGGCTTGAAAAATTTGTGTATAAGTTCTACAACCTTTTTTGATATAATTAAATAGTTTCGAAAATACGTCGGTTGGGGGGACTGGGACTCAGGAATGATTTGCAAACACGCCGTCTTTTATAGTGTAAACATGAAGAGTTTCACTGGCGATATAGTTTGCGCTTTTCAAGAAAAAAAATGCGGGAACGGTGCGTTGTGTATGGCTGTAGCAACTGGGCGAGTCTTTCTCAAAATATCTTACGTTCGCAGTAAAATTACAATTGATTATAATATTTGACGAGAACTCGGTTCCTGAGTCCCAGGCCCCCGAGCATGACGGAAATTTAGGCAAATCGTCATGTTTAGATGTAAATATTTCCGAAACAATTTAACTATATCAAAAAGGGTTGTAGAACTTATACTAAAAACAAATTTTTCAAGCTCTATTCAAATCCGTAAAGATCCCACAAGTGATATAGGCACTTTAACTGAAATAGCTGAGAGCACGTGTCGACTATAATTTAGACCTTCGTTTCACAATATCGGAACCTTAATTGTTTTACATGTAAGGCACAGTATGATATGAATAAATAATATGGTAATTACCGTGACTACTGTATACACTGTTTAAATGTATACAAACTAAAAAGTAAAAACTAAAAACAATGGTTTAACTATCAAAAGTTTCTTTGATCAAAGACGGTGATAAGAGTCATCTAATTTTAACAGCGTTTTCCCAGCCAAATACTGGCTTTGGTTAAGCATAGCATATCCTAAGACCATCAAGTCCGAATTTCTCAAGATGCTACATACATATTACTATCATTTTCGAATGAGATACACAAGTCACACATGCGCTTATTTTTACGCAAAATAAAATAGCGCTTGTCCCGCAAACTTAAAGCGGAATTAACGAACCGTAGCATAAGCATATTGACTAGCTGTTCGATAATTTATTCGAAATTTCCGAAGGCACACGAAGTCTCTAAGTGAAAACACTGGAACGCGTTCATTTCGGAACGCGTTCAGAACGCGTTCGGGAACGCATTCTGAACGCGTTCGTCGCATTAGGTTACTTCTGATCAGTACTGTACCTTATCTCGAATTGGAGAAGTGAAATGGGCAAAATTTGAGTCTTTTTTTAACCACATCATTTTTAATCAAAAGCTCTTTAACAAAAGAGGCATCATCTGTGGCCCAAACCAGCTGCTTGGAAGGATACCACTCAGTTGTTAATCAGTTTGCCCAAAAATGACCCATTACTCATACACTGGAATGCTTTGCAGGTAGATTACATATAGCAAATTGCTAACAGAAGAAATTTTGGAGTGAAACAAGACTTTGTAAGTCATAAAAATTTACTTACTCGAATAAGATTAATGCAACGAAGATGTCACCAGATGTATTGTCAGCTCATTTGTAGTGCGATGTGGCTGTTCCTAATTAAGTTCCTTTCCTTAGACACTTCTTTAGCATATATTGAGCAAATTTATGAAACCATGACAAGTACTCCAAGAAAAAAACTGCATGTTCTGTCCATGTCATGAACTGTCCACCTACATGCTCAGATAAAATTAGTTGCATTTTTTTAATCATTCAGTAAATAAAATAACTCAAACATTCTTTTTAGATCAAGAACTGCAGGCTTTGTTGAGCAAAAAGTCTAAAGGACAGGCTGCAAGAAAACCACCAACATGCAAGACTTGTGGAAACCCAATGAAAGGTCACAAGAAGGTGGATTGTCGTGTAAATAGTTTGGACTATTTTGTAAATATTTTGACCACAGTTTTAATCATACAGTCACCATTTCATTTTACACCGCGTCTTTTCATCCTATGTGAAGACTGCATTCACCTCCCTTACCCTATTTATAATTATGTCCTCGTCATCTTCAAAGCCAATGTAGTCGCGGTCATCTGTGTTGGGAAAGGTCGAGCGTATCCTTTTGTAGGAGCAACACGGTAGTGGGATGTGTCGTGAGCTGCCAGTGAAATCCCACACCAAACGCACGAGTTGCCTGTATGACACCGCTCGTAAGAACCTGCAAAGATATACATATATAAATTGTCAGCAAATATTTACAGGACAAATGTGTGGTTTAAATTTAACGTTTAAAACTTACTCCGCTCTTGTCTTTTGACCTTCTCGAAACACAGAACTATAATTCCTGTGCCCTTTTGCCTTTAATCCCAACGACGCAATTTCCAAAACCCATGCATTTAGACACACGTCGTTAAAACCCGTGTGATCATTAATGAGTTTTTGATGGCCTTCGTCTTCATGCTCATGCAACTTATCCCTGCACTGACTTATTTCCATAAAAAAGCGACACTCTTCAGAATTCACAATCATGTCGAGGGAACAATTGCCACATTCGCACCTTGCAAACCAGAAAAGGCTTAAATAATGTTTGTTTTGCTGTATATAATTACTAGAAATACATGCATGCAGCAACCCCTCGCCTCGGTTAAGCGAAATTAGTTAAGCATAGGGATGCTTACATGATAGTTGGAAAATATTTTGTGGGTTGGGGTGTTTGGAGGGTACTTGGTATTGTTGGTATGTGAGAAGAGAAGTATGGAAATATATTTCTGGAAGCGGAAGCACTGTAGTCATAGCAACTCGCAACCAACATCGCAACGGCCGTATATTTTCAAAGAATCAAAGTTTACCCTCATATTTTTGTGAAAAAAAGGCAAAAATACGACAAGATTCTAACAATTTTCTGGAAGTTAAGTCACTCATCTATAGTCACTGTTATGGTAAATTATTTTAATCATTAATTACAATGAAATATAACATCAGACGTCTCATACGACTTCCGAAGCTTTATGTTTACGCCTCGACTGGTTTTTGCACGCGAATATTTTGAAAAAACTGAGTTTATAAATGAAATTATAATGTCGTCTATCGCATAACACATTCAGATTTGCAGTGAAATACTAAAGTTGTGTTTACCACAAAAGAATGACTTTTTATACCTGTGCCGGGTCTTATTTTCAAGTGTAAAATCTTCCGACTTCATTATACACGGTGAATTGGGTCGAAAATTTAGTCTTGTTTTTTTTGTTAAACCGTAAAAAGTCCTGACCACATTCGAGTTTCCCTCTAATGTAATTTAAAAATACATATATTCCATATTTATGAAAATATAAATAATATGAAAATATATTTAAAAGTTTCTTCAAAATTTTGCGAAATGACAGTTATGCACGTTTAAAAATACAAATATTTGCCTCGACCAATCAAGAGCTTAGTAGCTTACACTGGCGCATGCGCATAACGTAGAAGACCGTCCATGGCGTGAGGTCCATTGCATAATGGCGGACAACTTTGATTTCGCATTTGCAAATCGTGGGTGTAAATATCCGAGCGGAATTAGTACCCTCGCACGGTGCTCCGCACCGGCTCGGGGATAACAATTATACATACACTTACCAAGAAGTGACGTCCACTTGTGCCTCAAAACGTATTCGCAACATATTTTCCAATTGCAGTTCTTCGTACTCAGCTACTTCCTCAGGTGACGCAAGTGGCTCAACACTGTCGTCAAACGGCGCAAAAATGTAAGCGTTCGAATCGTGCGATAGCCCCGAGTTGGCTGTCGAATAAACCGATGATTCGACAGAAGAATCTGACTCGGTCAAAGACTCCGAAACGCTGTTAGATTTGGATGAAATTGACATTTTATATCGTGTATGCCGCACTATACTGGTATAAATACTGCTTTGCTTCCTATAATATTCCCAGTGTGTTATTGTGGAGTGTTGAGACTGTGACGTCACGAGCCATCTCAAAAAGATGAAATAAAGATGGCGGATTTTAATGGCGGATGATGATTTTGGACATTTCCAACACTTATACTGGAGCGGATACTGCTCCATTTCGACTGAAATTTTGAGTAAGGGCTATTTTTACATTGGTAAAATCATGGTAAAAAATTTACACTTTTTGATGACCGATTTTCGTCACAGTGGCACTTTAAAGAATAAATAGATTTAGCTATAGTAAAAGGCGTGCCAAAAAGTTATCTATCTTATGTTTTTCCTGTGTAGTTGTGCCAGTGCGTTATGCCAGAAAAAACATTTGTAAAATTAAATTATGTGATAAAGTAAATGCGTCAGAGTGCGGTTTCCGAACCGGGACTATAAGTACATATAATGGCCGAACTAGTTCGGTAGCTATAGAGTATTGATTGTTGAGTATGGCGTTGTTGAAATCGTTGTAAAATATTAATTGAAAAACCAACGTGTTAGTCGTGAATCAGCGTGTGCAGACAAATTCACTGAATGAATACTGCGACAACAATGTGTTGTTGTTTTTTTACTTTCATCGCGTGGTTACAATGACCGGATATTTGTTAAATAACTAAAGTATAGACTGGAATTTTTTATCAACCCCTTTAATTAATCAAAGTAAATTGGATGCATTACATTCAACAACTTCTTTCTATTCTAGAGACGAATCCGGTTTCATTTTCCACCTCAGAACGGGCTGAAAAGCAAAACGTTTGCGTTGATATTCTGTTGAAAGAACTAGTGAAACATGCCATAAAAAAAAATTACAATGGACAATAGTATACGTACCAGCAGCATTTGTTTCCCGGTGTGCAAAAAAAGTCACAACCATATTCGTTTGGGTGGCAATATCCTTCAAACGGAACACATCGACTACCAAAATCACCACAAATAGGATCATTCGCTTTATCTACGTGATGAAAACATGAATAGTGATGAAAATGAGATGAATAAAAGTCTAAAAATGGGAATGAAGAAATCTTTGGTTTTACCTCAGCTAAGCGAATTTTTTATCCCCACTTTAAAAATTCTAACGTATATAATTCTTATATACTTGAGTTATGACCCTCATTCATATAGCTACAAAAATACCTTCGGCAAATTTACGGCCATCAACGTCAGAAAATGCCACAAAAAGTATCAACAAAAGACAAACATTCAGACGAAAATCCATTTTTGGGAAGGGAATATAATTATCTAGAAAATAACAATTAAAACATATATTGGATAAAAAACATCAAAAAAGAAAACTGGTTCATTTAAAAATACGTCATACATCTGCTGATTTATTTATCGTAACCTATATAACATTATGATTATATTACAGCCCTTTTTTGAAAAGAGAGAACTAAAAGGCAGGTTTTATCTTTCCCATGCATAATCTGGCATATATAAGCTTAGTACCTGGTGCATCGCCCGTCTGATTTACTAAAAAAACAATGTTAAACACGGATACAATTAAGGCAGGTTGCCTGAAATGTGTCCCCCATGGCTTTGAATATATATCGCCCTTTGTTAACCGAAAGGCGCATTTTTAATTACTATATATATATATATACTATAACGAGATAAAACCATTAAAACCTATGACTTTCGAAGTATAGAATGAAGGTTTACGCGGGTCGTAAACAATAATTTATTAAGAATTAACTTATTAAGAACTGGAAACAAAAAACATGCAGGTTTGTAGAATTACAGCGTCAGCCTTACGACGAATTATACACAAGTCACAGGAAATTTCCCGCTGTTCCATCGTATTTGAAATCCTTTATTATCTTTGGCCTGTTTTTCAGCTTTCATCAGTATTAAAAACTCCAAACATTACATAAGACATAAATTTAAGGGAATTTATAGATCGTTGTGGTTTACCTTAATTTGTAGAAATTGTTAACGTGGTTTGTTTTTGAATATCTGCTATACAGACTTGTACATATACAGGTCAGTGATCACAGATTACTGTGTGTGTAAGTAGCTCTAAGCTCTTTACAATAATTTCAAACTAAAATTGTGGAATAGTTATATTGAATAGTTGGATCCCTTTGACTTTCAAATAAAAAGCAATTAATCCAGTTTTACCTTCCCAGTATAATCGCTCATGTGCAATTCAAAATTTTGTATAGAAATTGTATGATGGTAAAAACTTGCAGAAAATAATTTAATTTATATCAATTCACCAAGTCAGAACCTTGAAATCAAAGTATAACTAAGCATTCAAACACAAGATTAAGCTTACCTCAGTATGCAGTCTGCCAACAGTAAAGATTTCAAAACTCGGAGAAACTTTAGTTCGCCAATGACTTAGGGTTGTATGGACCCGAGTATATATGCTATTCGTCAGTCAAAAATGACAAAAATTATGCAGTTTTACATTTCCGAAAAGGATATAGCTATAAGTATTTTCATCGTTGTGTCGGATGTGAGTGTCTCGACTGTAAATTAACAATATCGATCTGTAACGTTCTTTCTTTCTGATGGCGGCCTGGTTGTCGAACATCTACTTTCGGATATGTGTGTCTCGGTTGTAAATTAACAATATCGATCAGTAACGTCCTTTCTGTTGGGAACCGTATTTGTCTAAGTATTACGAAAGGCTCTCGACTTTCTCGATTGTAGAAATATGCAAGTAAGTCTGATAGTTCAGCTGGTTTCCACCAGGCGGAATTTTTGGATCGAACAAAATTTTTTGTTTGATTTCAAATGCGACCGGTGAAAGGGAATCCGCTACGGTTGACTTCTCACAATTGAAAAGAATATTGGAACAAAATTTCGTTTGGTCAAAAAATCCGTGGAAAACCGGCCTAACCTTAAAGATGATGTAAAGTCCGTTCTGAGCATATATTCTGCGCATAACAATGTTTGTTTACGTTGGTTATATAATCTTTACATGACGCATGCGTCGTTATAATTTTCTTATTTTCTTCTCGCTCGACCGGCTGTGATCTGTGACGAATATGCTTATTTTATATTATATTTTGAAGAAAATATTGTTATATTTTGAAGAAAATATAAAGCGAAGCTTGTAAATAAACAGGCCGTTATTTAAAACGTTATATTTTTGTAATTGTAGGACAAGCGAGAAGGTAGCGTCTGTAGCGACGACAAATAGCCTCGCCATTTCGGGCCTCATTTAACAAATAAATTCTTGGAGCATTCCTTTCAGCATAATATTGCTTCTCTTTAGCAGCCTTATGATAAGATAAGTTCTCGTCGTGACTCACAATTCGAGCCTCTTCGCCTTGCGACATAAAATAAAATAATTGTGCTCCCGAACTGCCGTTTGTAATACAACGCGCTAATATCGCATATCATTAACATTCCAAAAGTTGCTCCCCCACTGATGGAATGTGTTGCTGCGCGGATTATATGCGCAGAACGGACTTTACCTCATCTTTAAAAGTGATGGTCTAAGCTGGTTTTTCACTAGGCGGAATTTTTCAACGAAACGAAATTTTTCGCTCGAGTTTCTTTTCAATTGCGAAAATTCGACCGTGGCGGACATATTCAAATTTATTTTGCAGCGAGTATCGATCAGTAACGTTCATTCCGATGGTGGCCATACTGTCGAAGATCGACGACTTTGTCGGATGTGGGTGTCTCGGTTGTAAATTAACAATATCGATCAGTATATTCATTACGACGATCAGATAAGTTATGTGAGACTTTTATATTTTAAGACTGTACATTTGCATAGATATATATTTATATGCGTGATGTTACAAATATAAACTCTCCAGGGCAAAATCTGCCACTGGGTTGGGAAAACAAAGTCAAAGTAATATTTTTCAAAACGGATTACTATGCGTGATGTTACAAATATGCAATACTGCTAATATTTCGGTTTTTTTCCTTTGCCCCTTTATATATACGCCTTATCATATAGTATATAACTAGAAGCAAGAGCTGGGAATCTCTATTCCCATCATGTGGCATGTATAGACCCGAGTATAATTATATGTTATCCGTTAATCAAAACTATGAAAAAATCGTGCAGTTTCACACTTTCGAAAAGGATACACGTGTCCATTTCCATCAGATGTGAGTGTCTCAGCTGTAAATTAGCAATATCGGTCAGTAATGTTTTTCCGATGGCGGCCATATTGTGGAAAATCGACTTTGTCGGATATGAGTGTCTCGGTTGTAAATTAACAATATCGATCAGTAACGCGTTCATTTCGATGGCGGCCATATTGTCGAAGATCGACAACTTTGTCGGATGTGGGTGTCTCGGTTGTAAATTGACAATATCGATCAGTAACGTCCTTTCTGATGGCAACCGTATTTGTCTAAGTACTACGAAAAGCCATCGAGTTTCCCAATAAGTAAGTCTAATAGTACAGGGTGTTTCAAAAAAAAACGCAACCACTTAAATATGCAATTGAAAACGGCTCTTAATCCTTCATTTAAAATGCTAAAAGTCATTTTAGCTGAACTGTGATCCAAACCCGACCAATATTATACAGGGTGTCCCAAAAAAAACGAAAACTATTGAAATCACTCATTGTTAAAATTTGAATGCCGTGTTCACGAATTTCAGCCCGTGAGGATTTAATGCAACTTATAAAATGCTAAATGCTTTGTGTTGCTAAAGAAAGGGGACACGTCGAAGGTCATGGTCCTTGAGATGCACATTTAAATATTGTTATCCATATTTGTAAATTGTAAATATTGTTAATAAATATAATTTTTGCGAACAAGCAAATTTTACTGCATTATATGCATGCATAAAAATGAGTATGGTACACATTTATACACCTGTGGGTCCCAACAGAGTGCTTAGGCATTCAAACTCTAACAATTGTATTGTTATGGATGATTTCAATAGTTTTCGTTTTTTTTGGGACACCTTGTAGTATATTCTTGCATATTTAAGTAATAGTCTAATAATATATTCCGCCGGTTTTCCATACTAGGCGGAATTTTTCGATCGAAACGAAATCTTTCCCTCGATTTTCTTTTCAATTGTGACCGGTGAAGGGAATCTGCCACGGTCGAAGTCTCACAATTGACGCCTGATTATGGATTATAATTATTGCGAAATACATGATGACACACGCAAACTCGCTCGCGGACAACCACGCTGATATCCAAGACTGATGTAAAAATGCTTTGACAAAGATTGAAGAAAATACGGGAAAGCGCTATAGAACAGGTATATGCATGATCATTCCACTCAAACATTGGTCATTTTTGCATGTTATACACATGCAGCATGCAGATTCAATTAAAAGTACAAAGGCTATTCTTTGTCGGAAGTGCATGATAATGCATAAGAACGTTCAGATAAACACTTCAATGCATCTAAATCATTGCATGGCCTTGCATTATTGCAAAAATTATAGCTAATCATCAAAACTAAAAAATGTTCCATGTGGATCCTATTATCAGACAAACAAATGCAAAATACGTCCTAAAAAATTATTTAAAATATTAGTAGTCATAATTGCTACTTTCAATAAGTACCCGTCTACTTATTCTCCTTCAGGGAGATTTCAATCATTTTACAAATGTACATGTGTTCAATATTTGTTGCGTGATATATTAACAGAAGTTATCGCAATCCAAAAGGCATGGACTATAAAATTAATGTTCCTGCGTGATAATATATAGTATAGATATCCTCGAAATCTGAGGGCCAGCTACTGTTTATGTCAGAGTCAAAGTAAATAATAACTCGATATAGATACATAATATATCGGCACCTCCATATTATGGAGCCGAGTTAAGTGTTTTTATGGTGTATATGAACAAATAATGCCTTGTGCAATTTGATCGAAAAATTTTCCGTTTAAACTCTGTTGAAATTAACGCGACATAAACAACTGGCGCAAATTGCTAAATGTCACTCATATTACTGAGACAAACCAAACGCGGCATGATACCATGAAATTGAAGGAAATCGACGATGGAACACTATAGCTCTACGTGGAAAACCGGCCTAACCTTAAAGATGATGTAAAGTCCGTTCTGAGCATATATTCTGCGCATAACAATGTTTGTTTACGTTGTTTATATAATCTTTACATGACGTATGCGTCGTTATAATTTTCTTATTTTCTTCTCGCTCGACCGGCTGTGATCTGTGACAAATATGCTTATTTTATAATATATTTTGAAGAAAATATTGTTATATTTTGAAGAAAATATATAAATAAACAGGCCGTTATTTAAAACGTTATATTTTTGTAATTGTAGGACAAGCGAGAAGGTAGCGTCTGTAGCGACGACAAATAGCCTCGCCATTTCGGGCCTCATTTAACAAATAAATTCTTGGAGCATTCCTTTCAGCATAATATTGCTTCTCTCTTGCAGCCTTATGATAAGATAAGTTCTCGTCGTGACTCACAATTCGAGCCTCTTCGCCTTGCGACATAAAATAAAATAATTGTGCTCCCGAACTGCCGTTTGTAATACAACGCGCTAATATCGCATATCATTAACATTCCAAAAGTTGCTCCCCCACTGATGGAATGTGTTGCTGCGCGGATTATATGCGCAGAACGGACTTTACCTCATCTTTAAAAGTGATAGTCTAAGCTGGTTTTTCACTAGGCGGAATTTTTCAACGAAACGAAATTTTTCGCTCGAGTTTCTTTTCAATTGCGAAAATTCGACCGTGGCGGACCCATTCAAATTTATTTTGCAGCGAGTATCGATCAGTAACGTTCATTCCGATGGCGGCCATATTGTCGAAGATCGACGACTTTGTTGGATGTGGGTGTCTCGGTTGTAAATTAACAATATCGATCAGTAACGTCCTTTCTGATGGGATTTCAATTGCGAAAATTCGACCGTGGCGGACCCATTCAAATTTATTTTGCAGCACAATAATGTTCAACCTATTGAAATCCTACAGAGTATTGTAGGCCTAGGTTCCTAATAACCTGTACTTGGCGCGGATAACTATACTTATTACCTGCATAGTAAGAATATATTCATTACGACGATCAGATAAGTTATGTGAGACTTTGATATGTTAAGACTGTACATTTGCATAGATATATATTTATATGCGTGATGTTACAAATATAAACTCTCCAGGGCAAAATCTGCCACTGGGTTGGGAAAACAAAGTCAAAGTAATATTTTTCAAAACGGATTACTATGCGTGATGTTACAAATATGCACTACTGCTAATATTTCGGGTTTTTTCCTTTGCCCCTTTATATATACGCCTTATCATATAGTATATAACTAGAAGCAAGAGCTGGGAATCTCTATTCCCATCATGTGGCATGTATAGACCCGAGTATAATTATATGTTATCCGTTAATCAAAACTATGGAAAAATCGTGCAGTTTCACACTTTCGAAAAGGATACACGTGTCCATTTCCATCAGATGTGAGTGTCTCAGCTGTAAATTAGCAATATCGGTCAGTGGCGTTTTTCCGATAGCGGCCATATTGTGGAAAATCGACTTTGTCGGATATGAGTGTCTCGGTTGTAAATTAACAATATCGATCAGTAACGCGTTCATTTCGATGGCGGCCATATTGTCGAAGATCGACAACTTTGTCGGATGTGGGTGTCTCGGCTGTAAATTAACAATATCGATCAGTAACGTCCTTTCTGATGGCAACCGTATTTGTCTAAGTACTACGAAAAGCCATCGAGTTTCCCAATAAGTAAGTCTAATAGTACAGGGTGTTTCAAAAAAAAACGCAACCACTTAAATATGCAATTGAAAATGGCTCTTAATTAATCCTTCATTTAAAATGCTAAAAGTCATTTTAGCTGAACTGTGATGCAAACCCGACCAATATTATACATAGTATATTCTTGCATATTTAAGTAATAATCTAATAATATATTCCGCCGGTTTTCCATACTAGGCGGAATTTTTCGATCGAAACTAAATCTTTCCCTCGATTTTCTTTTCAATTGTGACCGGTGAAGGGAATCTGCCACGGTCGAAGTCTCACAATTGACGCCTAATTATGGATTATAAGTATTGCGAAATACATGATGACACACGCAAACTCGCTCGCGGACAACCACGCTGATATCCAAGACTGATGTAAAAATGCTTTGACAAAGATTGAAGAAAATACGGGAAAGCGCTATAGAACAGGTATATGCATGATCATTCCGCTCAAACATTGGTCATTTTTGCATGTTACACATGCAGCATGCAGATTCAATTAAAAGTACAAAGGCTATTCTTTGTCGGAAGTGCATGATAATGCATAAGAACATTCAAATAAACACTTCAATGCATCTTAACTATTGCATGGCCTTGCATTATTGCAAAAATTATAGCTAATCATCAAAACTCAAAAATGTTCCATGCGGATCCTATTATCAGACAAACAAATACAAAATACGTCCTAAAAAAATTATTTAAAATATTAGATGTCATAATTGCTACTTTCAATAAGTACCCGTCTACTTATTCTCCTTCCGGGAAGATTTCAATCATTTTACATGTGTACATATGTTCAATATTTGTTGCGTGATATATTAACAGAAGTCATCGCAATCCAAAAGGCATGGACTATAAAATTAATGTTCCTGCGTATACGTAATAATATATAGTATAGATATCCTCGAAATCTGAGGGCCTGCTATACTGTTTATGTCAGAGTCAAACTAAATAATGACTCGATATAGATACATAATTATCGGCACCTCCATATTATGGAGCCGAGTCAAGTGTTTTCATGGTGTATATGAACAAATAATGCCTTGTGCAATTTGATCGAAAAATTTTCCGTTTAAATTCTGTTGAAATTAACATAAACAACTCGCGTAAATTGCTAAATGTCATGCACTAATATTACTGAGACAAACCATGCAAACGCGGCATGATACCGTGAAAATGAAGGAAATCGACGATGGAATACTATAGCTCTGCGAAAAATTTGAAGTCGAGATAGCGGAATGTGATATATACTATAGTAAAGGACATATATTCTGTTGTTATACAAGCGCAAATTAATGCCAGACGAAAGACCGACAAAAGCCGGACGCGATCCGCCAACTTGAGGCGTTTTTTCAGTTTTCAAAAACTGCTAACTTTGACTATGTTGTGATATTTTTGGTAATTACTGTTTGTGTGGGCCTGAAGAACTCCCATTAATAGCTAAACGTCACGGTTATGTTTTTTTATCAGCCATACCAAATTATGCCGCTAACTGAAAATATTTTGCGTGAACAAGCTTATAAAATTTTCAAATATAGTTAATAAACAAGCTGACGTGTAAATTAATATGAAATGCTTGTGCCGTGAAACACCCGTGTAATTTGAACGAATATTAGCTATGAAAATTGGCTGCTCTTTTCATATGCAGCTCTATTAGTGTACAATGAGAAGACATTGTCGGAAATGTTAATGACGTGTGTACCCGCAAAGATTTGTGTTTCAGCACACGTAGGTGTTGGGAAATATGGCTAACGCAGTCAAGTAAAATTTGGCGATCAAATGAGCGCCAGCACTTACTATAATCATAGTATATGGACGTTAAGGTAAAAAGGGAAAAAACGTCTATAAAAATAGGAACGGAATTGAACTTTTTGTTCACCTAATCACCTTTTCAATAACATTACCATTCATTTATATATTAGACTGTTTGTTCTCTACAGTGTTTGTATAAGTATTTCTTGTTTTGTTCATGAAGAAAATGTTCTTTAGCAAAAGGAATGGAACAATGACTCGATCACTTTTGCTGTTTTATTGAATTACTGAATATCTTATTACACATGATAACCTAATTAAGTAGATGTAACGTAATTATCCTCTGAGAGGAATTCCTTTATTATCTTATACTACAAGGTTTTCGATGAGCAAAGATATAGCATATGTACTTCCCACATGATGGGAATAAAGATTCTCTGTTCTTGCATGCTTCTAGTAATTCTCTGTTCTTGCTTCTAATTATGGATTATTATATGGGTTAATATATATATATACATATAATCCATATAATTGTCCAAATATAATTATATAATTGTCCATATAATGATGTACTTTGATTATAGTGCTAGCGCTGAGTTCATCTAATAATATTTATCTGACTCCATTCGCTATATCTTTGCAGGAGCACACCTCATTAACATTTCCGACGATGTCATTTCATTGTACACTAATAGAGCTGCAGATCAAAAGAGCAGACAAGTTTCATACCCATGCAATATTCGCTCATATTTGACGGGGTTTATAACGTACCGAATAACACTTTTAAAATTTCAATTTCATTTACACGTCAATTCAAACACAACAACTATTTGTAATTTATTTCAGTATTCATTTTATGAGCATGTGGACGGAATCTAAGAGTTTGAAACGGCGCCGATGTTTTTATGTAATTTATTAAATATTGATCCTGTCATCACAGGCAACAGCTTAATGACCACAAATCTCAATCACCCTTTTCAAGTATTAAAATATTGCAATGCAGGCCCAGCTTATTTGCAATGCTTTGTTTGTCTACGACGATCAATTGCAATTGGCAATAAGGTCGGCGAACGGAATAAAACTGCAGAACAGAACTGCATGTATATATCAGGCATAATGTATTCCACTGTACTTAATTTTTCTGCGCAGATTAGATGGCTTTTCATAACAGGCATCGTACGATTTACTGTACCTGTAGTCAATTTCTTTTTCATTTCTATAATCATTGCGGCGATATACAACTCAATTCTTTCTGTTCGCAGACCCTAAGACTGCATGATATCCAAAACAAAATATAAAAATACTTTGAGTAAAAGATGAAGAAAATTCGGAAATCCACACTGGGATATATAGGTATGATGTATCGTGCATTGTAAAGGCGATTCTCCATTACGTCCGCTTTGCCCGCGCGCGCGAAGCGCGCTTTGTTTTTCAGACCCGTCAAGGTTATATGGACAGAATTTCAAAAGCCGCTTCGCCCGCGCGGGTGAAGCGAACGGCAATGGAGAATCGCCTTTAGTACTTCTACGGCGTTGTAGTGTTATAATCGTTCAGATAAACGCTTGCATGAACGTATCTATATTGCCTAATAACTAATCACAATTCCGCTCGGAGTATTACGACAGATCGAATCTAAAGTTGTCCAAGGTCTATAGCTATGACACGCATAGACGGTGGTCGTTCGACCGTTTTCTCGGTTATGCGCATGGTAATCAATAACGTTCGCATTGGCTAAGACAGAAAGTTTCTACAATCAATGAGAACGGCAGCAATTTAACTACCATTTCACAAACTCTTTTGTAAAAGCGTTTCATAAATCAAGCCTAATTTAAAAGTGTTTTAAAAGAGTACGTGTTAATTTACTTATATACATGTATTCCGTATTTGCTTCGCGGTATAAAAATGCAGTTTATTTCTAAAGCGAGGGGTTGCTGGATGCGTGAATTTCTATAGTAATAAAATTTTACCTACATTTTAACAACACAAGAAGCCATGAAGACCAGACACTCCTTCTGTAATAGCTATGATGATAAAAATGTTTGTATTTCAATCAAAAACGTCAGCAATTTAACTGCATGTCATTTTGAAAATTTTTTTTAAAATTTGTTTTGTAAACAGAATCTGAAATGTGGAATCAAATAAAATGATATAAACACTGGCAAGAGATTAAAATATTACTATTGGTGAAAAGGAACAACTCGTAGTTTATAATCATTGAAGTGGTAAGTGTCTACTTTGTTTATTTCGTGTTTGCTGTACGAATGCATTTTATGAGATTGGTATGTCGTTTTGCGAAGACCTAACTGACAATTTAACCAAGGTTTTAATTAGATCATCGTTTTAACTTCAAAACGAGTTGTTGAAAGTGTAATTCGGAGTTTTGATATAACAAATATCACTTTAAAGCTTTTATATAAATCTAGAGTCGACTGCAATCACTGTATGATTTCAATAATCGAAAAAAAGCATTCGACGTTGAGTGCTTGGTTATTTAAATTATTTGTTCTGTGCTGTTTTAATGTTGTGAAGGTTTAGTTTTTAGAGTGAAGTATTAGCTCAAACTTAAAGTGTAAAAGTCTATATCTTCATGCAACGTAATACAGGCAAACAAGCGGGTGAGTTCGTTCACCTTTATTACGACTGTGTTTGATTTCGAAAAAAATGTAACATCAGCTATTGATCAACATTACATTTAAGTCATTATTTTCATAATATATAAACTTAGAAGGTTGGTCTGGTTAGCTCAGGAGATCTTTGTTTGAAATAAGGAGCTCTGCATGCATGCATGTTAGCTCGATTAGGAGAGCTTCGTTTGAAATAGGGACGATTGCATGCTCCTATTTCTAGTAGAACTTCATAATTATAGTGTATATGGACGATAAAGGTATAATTAAAAAGCAAATAATTGCAATTATTGTTTGTTTATTTTGGTATGTATTAATTGGTTACGGACTTTCAACTATTCTGTCCAGCTTATCGCTTTAATATTTCCATGTATGTCAAAGTATTTCTCTTCAATAACGGATTTTTGTTATGTGACGATTTCTTACCTAAAGAAGAGTAGCGCGCGGGGCGGCATGTATACTATATAAGAGATATTAGGTAGTTTACAATCTACGATGCGGTTAGCTGACGTCGCTATTCAATTATTTTGCTAGAAAATAATTATGCTGCAAGGACTTTGAAATAATCAAACATTTTCTAGCTATCATTGCAGTTCAATATAAGCTGTCAAAAAGCTATCACGTTGCCGCCGCATGCTTTCATGTCATCGAGAGGCCGTGAATATGCCTCATTTGAAGGCGTCCTAAGAAAGATAACGCTGTCTTAGGACCAAAAATTACGCATACCTATATTGTCTTGCGTGTGGTGTTTCGATTTTCAAATTTTTCTTCATCTCATTTTCATCACTATTCAGGCATGTTTTCATCAAGTAGATAAAACGAATCAACCTGGTTGTTCTGACGTTGGTGATCAAAGTGTCGCGCAACAGCGAGGTTTCTTGCCTCGGAGGCTGTTATTCGTGTCGCCTTTTTTGCCCAGACGGGAGAAAATGCTTTTCGTACGTATTGTCTATTGTAATGTGTTTTTTTTAATGTTTTCTTTTATGACACATTTCACTGGTTCTTTCAACAGAATATTAACGCAAACGTTTTCCTTTTCAGCCGCCGTGTGCATGGGCGTGAAAATTAAAACGAGATTGGTCTCTGGAATAGAAAGAAGTTGTTGAATCGTCACATAAAAAAATCAACTTTTCAAGAGAAATACTGTGTCATACATGGGAATACTTTATTAAAGGTGATAAGTTGGACTGAATAGTTGACAAAATATCAAGTCGTAACCAATATATAAATAAAGTAAAATATAATTAAATTATTTCCTTTCATCCCTACCTTCAGCGTCCATATAAAATTATTATACTCTGATTAAAATTCTACTAATGATTTCATCTCCATGCAAATTCGATTGAATTCCAGATCACGGATGCACAAATGTTTCCATGCAGGTTATAGGCGTTGTAATAATACAGTACTGTCCAGAAATAACACTGCGGTTGCGGTTCGGTGGCAGTTCCGTTGCGGTTAGGTCGCGGTTCTGTTGCGGTCGACCGATAGAAACCGCAGACGACTGCAAGAAAAAAATACTTCGCATGGTCGTTCAATTCCGAGCAAAGTATTATGAACAGCTGAGAACGAAAACACAATAACCAAAGCGAAAAAATATTAAGAAATGTTTTTCAGACCGAGTTAGACCGAGGTTTAACCTCCGTCTCACCGCGGTTTGACCTCGGCGAGACCTCGGTTTAACAGCCGATTAGACCGAGGTTTGACCTAGCTTAACCGCGGGTTTTGTTAGCCGGTTATTTCTGGACAGTATACTGCATGTGGGTATTATAGAAGGAGTGCCCCTATAAATATATAGGAAACGAAAAATTCAGTAGAATGATGGAATTGTATAAGGCGTCGCCTATTATCACTAGAAATACATGCATGCAGCAGCCCCTCGCTTTACAAGTAAACTGCATTCTTATACCGCAAAGCAAATAATAATACGGAAAGCATTGAAGTAAACACAACACTTATACGCTTGCACATGAATTGTTTCTTATACACCGCTTTTTCTTGAATGGTATCCATGTTATTCATAGCTATATGGCATCCTTTATTTTGTTTCTTCATACATTTTTCACCAATAATTTATAAAACACTTTTACAAAAGAGTTTAGCGAAATGGCAGTTAAATTGCTGCCGTTCTCATTGACTGTAGAAACTTTCTGCCTCAGCCAATGCAAACGTTATTTCGTGCGCACAAGTGCCATTACCATTAAACGTCTACGGTCCATAACATAGAATTTGGACAACTTTGGATTCCGATATGTTCTGTCACAATGCCCGGGTGTAATTCCTAATCTCCGGGCGGAATTAGTTTCCTCGCACGGCGCTGGTAGCAGTGAGTTTAATAACAAAGTTTGATGGGTTATTACTATCGCCTTTTTTATGGATGAGTATTGTACGCGCCTTCTTCCATTCTGATGCTATGGTTTTGGACGACCAGAAATATAGAGCTGCAGATTAAAAGAGCAACCAATTTAGCTATAATATTCGTTCAAATTACACGGGTATTTCAACATGCGTGCATTACATATTAATTTACACGTCAGTTCATCAACTATTTGAAAATTTTATAAGCTTGTCGACGGAAAATATTTTTAGTTAGCGGAATATTTTGGTTACAAAAACGTTACGTTTAGCTATTAGTGGGAGTTCTTCGTCTGGCATTAATTTCTGGCTTCTTTAAACAACGATGTTTATCGACATAGCGTGGTGACGGACATATTCGTTAAATAACTCAAATATATAGACTGGAAATTTTTATCAACCCCTTTATTAGTCGCTGGGGCGTAGCCCGCAGCGACTTAAGGTTTCGCCTCGCATTTTTGTCGGATCTCGGATCTTTAGCCACAAAATTTCAAATTACGTCATTCGTATTCGCGCTGTATTCAAGATGGCCGCTTACAACGAGCGAGTTTAGCATCAATTTCAATTACAAATTAGCATCAATTTCAACTTGAAATAAAGGACAAAAAGTTCAATTTTACAAAGAACTTTGGAACGGCAACATTTGGCTCGCGCAAACTGCTGTTTATTTGGATGCTTTTCTCTGTGGCTCTTGCTGCAAATATAAATACTGTTACGGGTATTGATATTAAACATTGATAATACTGTCATCTCGGCAGCATTTGGCTTGCGCAAACTGCCGTTTATTTGGATGCTTTTCTGTATTACTCTTGCTGCAAATAATACTGTTAAGGATATTTATAATACTGTCACTTGGCTCGCACAAACTGCTGTTTATTTGGATGCTTTTCTCAGTGGCTCTTGCTGCAAATAATACTGTTACGGGTATTGATATTAAACATTGATAATACTGTCATCTGGGCAGCATTTGGCTTGCGCAAACTGCCGTTTATTTGGATGCTTTTCTCTATTACTTTTGCAAATAATACTGTTAAGGATATTGATAATACTGTCACTGTCATGGTGTAGCCTAACAAGACGGCAAGAGTGTAAGACCGAAATACAACCACAGTGATCATCATTAATCACTACGTGTGAAATTTAAACTTTGTTACTGTGGCTCCAATGACTGGAATATTACAGGTTTACAAGTCGAGTCTGTTACTGTGGCTGCGAACTGGAATAATACAGGTTTACAAGTCTGACACCTGTTTCAACTTTTCAAGGTCAAGATACCATATTAAATGAAACACAATACTCACTGTCAATAGTGCAAGGGCTGCAAAGGGGCCCTGTTAGGGGGGGGGGGGCTTGTGATGTCGGCTGTCGGCTGTACATATCTCATTTTGTCATGTTCTTGATCATGAAAATTAGTATCCTCTCCAGCTTCGGGGCGGTGCACATCTCCCAGTAAACCTATCCATCCCATCCCTAATTCCAATGACACTCAAAATTATATATTTGCCCAATCACCTCTACCACTGTCAAAATGTGTTAGTATAGGTAATAGCATGGTTTCGAGTGCAATTACGGATAAACAAGCACAAGTGAGTATTTTAAAGACTGATTTCTAGTCTTTAAAATACTCACTGTACATCTTTAACTATATTTGCATCAGAAACCAAAAGATGATCTACAGTCTGGTCTGCGCATCGGTTCTGCTTATAATAAAAGCGAGACTCTTAATATAAACATTGCCCAAATTTCGCATCTTTTGAACTTCTTCAGAACTAAAACTCTGGTTTATATTCATTTACAAGCATAGCAAACCAGAACAGTGTAAGATATTCAGTTAGTATATCATATTTTACAAATACAGCAGTTCGAAATGTAAACCAAGCATTTGTTTACTTCCCGGACTGAAAAATTTAGATGAAAAAATTTGCACTCTTACCTTCGCTACTTAAGCATTGTCTTTTTTATGATATGCTCGTTGCATTCTCAACTTATTAATTTCCTCCAAAACTTTCAAAACAAAATGTGAAAAATTCAGATATTCGTTCCCAGGCTCTGTTGACTGTTCTAGTTCTGCTCCCAGTCCCAGTTGCAATTTGTATAGGTAATTGCACTCCTTTTTAGCCAATCAGCACACAGGCGGCCCAATCGCGGGTAGTGGTTTACTAAAACTATAGATATAGTAATACTATATGTACAATATATATTAAACATTATATAATTCTGTCTCTGATGTATATATTTCAAATATAATTTATCTACATGTACCTTGGGTGTTCTCATTTTATTCCTGCTGTGTTCCGTCGAAACTCACGCTCTGTAGTGGTAGGTACATGTAGATAAATTCTATTTGAAATATATACATCACAGACAGAATTATATAATGTTTAATATATTGTACATATAGTATTACTACATCTATATAGTATTAGTAAACCACTCTACCCGCGATTGGGCCGCCTGTGATCAGCAACCAGAAATTTTTGCACCATATTATCAGTTACGAAAAGCCTATATCATTAATACCCCAGCGACTAAACGCTCCACGGAGTGTCTTGTTTATCAAAGTAAATTGGAAGCATTACATTCAATATCCTCTTAATTGTACCATTCCAATCATACTTTCCACCCATGCTACTTACTTGCTTGGGCTGATAAGGTAAACGTTTGCGTTAATATTATTGTCGAAAGGACCAGTGAAACATATCGTAAACGAAAACATTAGAAAAGATTACAATAGATAATACGTACCAACAGATAGATAGATAGATGTTTTAATCAATAACCATTGCAGTAACACAAACTATTACAGTTGCGACTGAAATACATGGTGCTTACAAGTTAAAATATCTAATTAATAACATCAATATAAAGTTAAAACTAAGAAAAAATTATTTACTTATTAATCTTTAAACTACTTGCTACTAAAAAGGTGTTCTTAAATCGTTCAGTTTTAAAATGAGGAATGTTTATTAATCTATTGCAACGAAGGTTATAAGGGGATGCTGAATCGACTTTAGATATTAGATTGTATAATTTATCATTAGGATTATCTAAAATTCGTTGGAAGAACATTTTACTCGCTTGTTCTCTTCGGTCATAGAGAGTTAATTCCCCAGATTCAATTAGAGCATCCCTATAACTAAGGTCCGTGTATATGATTGACAATGCACGCCTTTGGATTTGTTCTATTTCATCACTTAGATATTTTGGTAGAGATTGATGGAAAACTGTAGACGCATATTCAAGTACAGATCTAATGCATGACTTGTAGAACTGCATGATATCTTCCCTTTTAACATTTGCCCGTTTCAGTTGTATTAAAAGATATAAACGTTTGGAACATTTTGTAATGATGTGGTACACATGACTGTTCCACCTCAAGTCCGATCTTAAGGTCACTCCAAGTAACTTTGCTTCGTGGACTATCTCTACATCTCTACCATTGATACTAATTGGCGGGAAAGTACTTCTATCTTGTTTGAAATCAATTCTAAGTTCCTTGCACTTGCTATCATGTAGTCGGAAAAGGTTATTATTTGACCACTCCTGAATATCATTCACCGAGTTTTGGATCATACTTGTTTCAAATTTAGGAACTGTTTCTGAAATCGTTAGATCGTCAACAAACTTCGCTTGATCTACTCCATTAGGTCGCAAATCATTTATCATCAGTACAAATAGCCAAGGGCCAAGTTTGGTACCCTGAGGCACTCCTGCAGGGACATTTCCCCACTCGGAGAAACACTCATTGGCTAATTTCACTCGCTGTTTCCTATTTGTTAGAAAGTTTATGATCCAATTTAAGGATGGAGTAGGGATACGTAGTGACTTAAGTTTGGATACCAGAATAGAATGGT